CCCCCCTCAATGCTATGCTCACGTCTTTGATGCCGTTGGCCTTTCTCCGATTGCTGGGTGTGATCTCCTCACTGTCCTTGGCGGACCGCGGCGCACTTCGCTGGCGCTTCCTGCCACGACCGTCAGCATCCTCCTCTCCACCCCTCTCCCCCTCCGGCGAGCCCTCGGACCTGCCGCCCCTGGCCGCCAGATCCCCCAGCTTCTTCTTTCTCCTGCTCGCGCTCGTCATCTTGGATGGGGAGTCGCCCCGCTTGGGTGGTACTGGTGTCTTGTCCTTCTTGTCCTTGTCCGCCGCGTCTTTCTCCCGCTTGACCCGCTCCCTCTCCATCTTGACGGATCGCTCCTTGTCCCGCCGCTGCCTCTCCTCGTCGAGCCGCTCTCTCTCCTTCTTGAGCTCCACCTCGATCTCTGCGTCTACGGATGCGGCCAGGGCCTGCATCTCGGTAAGGGGGCCGTGGCTGCGGCAGATGTCGTAGAAGGGATATGAGGACCACTCGGGCGGGACCACTGGTGCCGCTGCTGCTGCTGGAGTGGGGAGGGCGGGCCTGTCACGTTCCCCTTCCGCCGATTTCTCGTCACTCTTCTTAGGCTCCTCGGCCGCCTCGTCCTTGCTGTCCGCTCCATTGTCATCGGCTGCCGCTGATGCGGGCGCCATCTCGACATCCTCTACTCGTGCCCCGTCACCCTCCCCCTGTCCTCCATCTTGTTTGCCGTCCTTGTCCACAGGTGACTGATTCTGGTCCTCCTCCTTCCTCTCTCCATCGACCATGACGCTGTCCTCCTGCTCGTCTATTGCCGCCGGCTTGCTCTCCTCCTGGGTGATGGGTGAGGGCGATGGCTGTGGCTGCGGTGGGATGTACGACATGTGGCTGGGCGGCGGTGGGCTGAGGTCCTCCTCCAGGTAGGAGAGGGCCTGCTTGAGGTCGGGGGGCAGCTCGCACTTGACGGCAAACTTACGCGCATTGATGGGATCGCTGAGAGGCGCAAGACACGGACACGGATGCTTGTGCGTGGGTGTGGTGTGTCTGTGGTTTGGTTTGGTTTGCTTACCGCCATCCGAGGTGGAACTCGTGGAGGAAGTTCCTGCGGCACCACTTGCGGTCGCGACGCAACTGCTCATCCGACAAATAATTCGGGTCTGCAAATGTACCATCACAGCAACACAAGACAACACACATGTGACAAAGATCCCTCCCTCCCTCCCTCCTTCCCTGCCTGCTGACCAGCCACAAGTGGGTGCCCCGCGTAGAGCATGTGCACGCGAATCTGGTGCGTCCGCCCCGTGATGATCTGACACTTGAGGAGGGTGTACCGGTCGTCATGCCCCTCCAACGCACCACCACCACCACCACCAGCCGCCGCCATCTCCCGGTCCATCTGCAGCACCCTGCGGGGCCCTGGTGTGGGTGTAGGGGTGTTGCGGCCTGCGGTCGGTGTCGGCGTGTTGGATGGACGGTCCGACCGCTTCCTGGGACACCGACACACGGAGGGAGGGATGGTGTGGTGTGTGTGGGTGTGGGTGTTGGTATGTGTCTGGTATGCGATGCGATGCGTGCGTACATTCGGTAGTGTCCGAGAACGGTGTACATGGTGTAGGAGGGGAGGGCATCCTCCCCCCAAAGCACCAGCGACTGGCCCTTACGCTGACCTGACACACGCACACACACACAGAGGAGAGATACGGTCGAGGCCGGTCACAAATGCCTGTCTGCCGTCTATCTGTCTGTCTGTGTCTACCGATTTTGAAGTTCCGTATGGGCGCTTCGATGTGTCCCGTGCCGGGCGACATCGCACCATGGACCAAACACAAATACTCCTGCAGACAGGGAAGGGTGACACACACAGATCAGCATACATTCTCATCCCCCTCTCACACACGCCTCTCTTAAGGTATCTCGGTCACTCACCTTGGTGACTTCGTGTCGTCTGATTTGCGACTTGAGAGCCTCCAGCGCCCCCTTGTACTTGGCGATGAGTACGGGCCCCGAGGTCTCCTTGTCGAGCCGGTGACACAGGCCGTAGTCCTCCTCGACATTCTTGCTCAACGGGTGGTTCCACGTCAGCGACACATACACCTGCACACATGACGTGCACACACATAGAGACCGGCTTGCCTGTCTGTCTGTCTGTCTGTGTATCTGTGTGTGTGTTTACCTGGAAGGGCTCGACCTCACGGCTGATAAGGATCTCAGCTGTGGACCGCTCAGCTTGCCTGCATACACACACATACAGGCAGAAGAATAGATGCACATTCCACGACGCCTTTGGTCCCTCCCCTCGCCCATCCCATCTCTCTCTTTTGAGCTCGATCCGCTCCTCTCCTCTCCTCTTACCCCGTGTAGATCCTCTTGGTGTCGCACTTGTAGAAGGGCGGCTTGTAGAGCACGAAGAAGTGTTTGTTCTCGTACATGAGCCCCGGCTCCTCCTTGACCTCAGGCACGTCGCTCTTCTTCAGCGAATACACCTCACGCGGCCTCAGCACGCCCCCATTGCTGTCCGTGTACTCGAGATTCAGCGCGTTGCCGTTCTTCAGCCCCCGCTGCTCGAACTCGCGCAGCATGTCGACAAATGATCGGCCCACCAGTATCCCCTCGGAGGGCTGGTCGGTGGGGGCCGTCAGGTGCTGAAAGAGGGTGAGGGTGTGGGGGAGCACCTGGGCGCCGCAGATGGAGATGGACACGGGGGGCGAGAAGATGATGCACGACCGCAGGAAGGGCGCACTCGTGGCCTGCTGCAGCTTCACCAGCGCGTGCTTGAGCCGAAACGAGCGGATGGCCGGCCTGACATGGCGGCAGACAGAAAGGACAACAAGTGCATCCAGGCAAACACATCTCTCCCCTGCGCCCTCCCTCCCTCCCTCCCTCCCTCCACGTGCCCACCGGCCCACCCCACCGACCATTTGGGCAGCTCCTGTATCCAGCTGCACAAGCTGTGCATGGCGTTGGCGAACCAGTAGCCGCCCTCGTCACTCCCAAACATCATGTCGGCCGCACAGGCGAACCTCTCCCGAATCCACCGGTGCTCGTCGTACGCACACCCGATGACGGCCGACGCCTCCTCCAGCCCCTCGCCCCAGTTGGGCAGACCGCTGTTGGTCTTGCTCGGCCGCACTGAGGCACCTGACGGGGAGGCTACGGACTTGTCTGTCTTGTCTGCCTCTTTCCCTTTGTCTGCGTCCTTGTCTTTGTCCGCCTGCAGGTCGAGTGCTGCGCCGCTGAGTGAGGGGAAGGGAGACTCCGATGGGGCGTCCTTGCTGCTGTTGTTTGGATGAGCACTGGCGTCTTCCATCGTGGCGTCTTGGTCGGTGGCTTTGGGTGTTGGTTGCGGCTGCTCCTGAGCGGGGAGGGGGCGCGAGGCGCTCTTGTCGGTCTGGGGAGAGGTCGAGTCGGCCGCTGGCGAACCTGACGAGCAACACCGATCACATGACGACATCTCGTGTGTGGGTGCATCGGTCTTCCCACCTTTCGCCGTCTGGTGGTCTTTGTTTCCCTCCTCCACGCCATTCATGACGGCTCCCTCGCCGGCCGCCGCCTCGCCCTTGCCGTTGTCCGCAACCGACGCATCCATTGCCGGGCGGGATTCCAGCGCCAGCGGACTCAACTTGATTCGATAAAGAAAAGCGCGTCGTCAGATGACAGGTGTGGGTGAGGAGCAAAGCAAAGCGCCCCAGGAGCCTCAGATCAGCACGTCGATGCTCTCGTCAGTTGAAGATCTGCATCCGCCGTAGCTTACGATAAAATCACGGGTGAGCGACGACTCTACGGACACAGATGAAACCAATGAGGTCGCCACTCCAAGGAATTAAGACCTTTTTTTCCCGTAAGCGTGCCCCATCTGACACGTTTGGTCCCTTTTTGCGTTGCGTGCTCGATGTCGTCAAGGGAAGATCACGCAACGCTTCACAGCCTGATGCGCCGCACTCTCTCGACGATGCACACTCTTGGAACTCACACGTCAGCTGACAACGACTGAAGGTGAGAACGAAGCCAATCATCACACTCACGCACTTCGTCTGTGTGTTATCTGTGTGTGCCCGTGGTTGCATTGCTCCAGGTCTTTTCGGTGCCTTGTGCATCAGCCCACCATGGGCCAGATCTACGTCAAGCTGGAGAGCGCATTGCAGAAGGTAACTGCCGGGGAACTCGCGGCTGACGAGCGACCTGACGTCTATCGCATTAGTGGGACGATGGCGGCCACCCTTGTCGCCTTCCACATCGACGGCTCAACGGGCGGCATCATTCCTGACAGGCGGGACCGCTTTGTGACGGCCATGCGGCGCGAGGGCCATGACCAGGAGATGGAGACTGAGGCGGAAGATCAGAACCAAATGGGCGGCGGACGGGTGAAGAGAAGGACACATGCGTCTCTGATGCCACCACGTTGCCTGTCTGTGTGTATTGCGTATCTCCAGCATCTTGGCTGGCGTCGGGAGGCGCATTTCATCTTGTTCGGCGTCTTGTGTCTGACGGTCTTCTATCATTTTTGGGACCGGCATCGGGCGTGGGCGCTGACCTTCCTGCTGCTTGGCAATGCTGCCCTCGGTATCGGCCGGGTGTACACCAACCTCGCCAAGTGCATCAGCGGATGCGTTGCCGGCACCCTGTGGCACTGGACGAGGGCTGAGGCGTTCTGTGTGAAGACGATGTGGCACGTTGGGTGTGGCAGCGGCATGGCTGAAGAGGAAGCGGCGGAGGAGAGTGCATGAGACAATGGAAGGGCAGTCAGGCGTGGGGCAGGAGCCTGTTCTCACTTTCTGCTGCTGTCGCTGCTGGTTGTTTCTCTCGAAGATGTTTGTGTCGTGTTGTGGCCGTTGATTCGTGTAGTAGGCGTGGGTGACGCGAATGGGGAGGGATCGAGGTCGTCTCTCCCCTCTTGTCTGACCTGCTGCCGCTTGACGAATCACGACCACCTCAAGACACATTGTTTTGCGCTGTGCATCGCTTCTCCAACATTGGGGCGGGTGTGAGAGCGAGAGTGAGAGTCTTGATGGACACAGTCGTTTTGGTGATGAAGTGAGGAGGGGGCTGCTCGTGTACAGAGAGTGACGAACAAGACTAAGTCAGATGGATAAGTGAGTGTCGTGCTGGTCTGTGGGTGTATAGCTGTTGGTCTGTCTGCACGTGGGCCAGCCGGTGGACAGAGTCGGTGGTGCCTTCTCTCTGATCGCAGTCTCTCTGTCTCACAGGACACATCTGCGTCGAATGACAGACGATGCTTCGTGAAGCTTGCGTATGTGTACTGAGTTATGCGATGACGTCCACCCGCCCGCACACACATCCACTCAAGTCTGATGAAGCTGTACACACACCCACACTGACATGCTGTTGTCCATATCTCGGTACGCGTGTGCTGGGAGGGTCTTTCCGTCTTCACACTGCCTCAGTCGACGTGTCGCCGTGCTAACTGGTCGGTCAGCACGAGAAACCATCAACGAGAACTGCAATGACTTCCGCCCACCCCCACATCCACTCCTACGGGTCACCACTCGATCTTGGAATCGTATGGGCTGACTAAGGAATCGTTACCGTACCAGTCGGAATCCGAAGGAATCGAAATAGGCCTCAGAGCAGATTCCGTGATTCCGTTGATTCCGCTGCAAGACTGCTGATTCGTGCTGATTCGTGTATGTATAGCTTGATTCCTGCTGCAGTACTGCCTGATTCGTCTGCCAATGACCTTTGTTTCCTTCCTCCAAGTGCTGGACACGATAACAGACATTGCAATGGAACATTGACATGTGCAAGCAAACTGTCAACCATCTCACACATCTCCGCACATTCCCTCCCTGTCCACACATGTATAATCCAACGCACTATTCACACACATGTCTCTGGTGTCTCCTCAATCATCTATTCACATAATGTCACTCGCCCCCTTTTCTCTTCACCCCCCTCCCCCGCGGCAGCTCGTATTCATCATCGCTAATCATCCGCTGTGTCTGTCCCCCTCGCCCTCGGCCACGCCCTCTGCCACGCCCTCTGCCACGCCCTCTGCCACTCTGCCACGCCCTCTGCCACGCCCTCTGCCGCGACCCCTTCCCCGCTTGACACCTGCACCTCTCTGCAACTCGATCTCAGGCATCTCACCATCATCTATGTCCATGCCGTTGCCCTCCCCTCCCTCCCCCTCATGGATGCTACAGGGTAGCGTGAAAGAGGTCACATGACAATGACGAGGGCCACCGGGTGCTCAGGAGAGTAACTCGGCTATATAGTCTATTGGTGGCGGATCTCAGGTTGGCCGTCATTCTAGCTCGGCCGTTTCAACCCGCCTGGGGTCCCAAATGGCCTGGCCGCTACGGAGAGCGGGGGAGGGGACCCTAGAGCATTTGGTATACCGTCCAGGAGGCCTAACATCCAGGCAGCCGTCGGGAGTATGTGACCTCTGAGGGTGGGCGTTGGATGGAGCTCAGCGCTCGTGAAAGAGGGGTAACAGGAATGTTGCGGTGCTCGCGCTGCTTCGTATCTGTTGACTCTCTCTCAGCGAGCGGGTCTTAGTGGAGAATGCTGTGGAGGATGTGATGTGATGTGAAGTGAGGGATATCAGACGTCTTGTCGAGTGTGGGTCTGAGGTGCAGAATCAATCAAGATGGATGTCCGCACACACACAGGGATGCTGGGAAGGACTGCCCAATGCTTATTCAAGCCGCAAACAAAGAAACGAAACAACACAGAAGTCCGCCAGTCAGAATAAGGGGAGGCGCAATGGCAAAAGAAGAGCTCGCTCCGGCGTTCTGTCGCTGTGGCTCGCCCCCTCCGAGCCGTTTTGTCTCCCCCGGCCGCTAGAGTCTGTTTTACGGAAACTGGCCCCCCAACTCATCGCGGGACACAACACAAGGCAACACACGTCACAACACATGCACAAGATGGCAAAAGCAAAGCAAACACAACACAAACACATGCGAGAGAGTAGCATGCGCTGATGAACGAAAGCATGGAGACGGATCTTCCCTCCCTTCATCAGCGCAGCGATACACCATTGCAGCGTGTACACAGGGGACCACTCTCTCACTCACATGCATGCACTCAATGATTGGTGTGTCATTTCAGGCACCCTGCAACATGGAGGAAGATTAGATGCGGCTGATCGAACACACCTTCCCTGTCTCTCTTGTTTCCGTTTTCCTTCCTCTTCTCTGGCATTCTCTCGGGAGGGCAGTTGTTGATATCTCTGCAGAAGGCCGGTAGTTGGGGGGATCATGGGGTGGGAGTTTGGCGGCTTGTTTGGAGAGACACGCGGCGTTTTCTTATGTCGAAAGACTCTCTGAGTCTCATGGAGAGAGAGACAATCACGTATACCTGACTATGTCTGGCTGTCTGGCTGTCTGCCTGTCTGCCTGTCTGGCTGTCTGCCTGTCTGCCTGTCTGGCTGTCTGCCTGTCTGCCTGTCTGCCTGTCGGTCGGTCGGTCGGTCGGTCGGTCGGTCCGAGTGTCTGTCGGTCTGTCGGTCGGTCGCTGATGCCCAGAGTGTCGGACACACGCATGGAATCATGTCGGTCTCTTTGGAATCGGAACATTGCACCCAAGAATCAACAATATCACACACGAATCAGACGATTCCATAGGAATCGAAATGCCCGTCTGGGCAAGGAATGGCCATAGAGGAATCGGGCACCATGATTCCGACCGGTACGGATTCATATCTCGACAACTACTGAGTTTCAGGGGCTGATCGACCGGCCCCTAAGCAAATCGAAGGCGCTCTTTCACGTGCTGAAGTCGGTTTCGGCGTGTGATGGCTACTTCGCCCTCTACAGGGGGGTCACGGGTCGATTCCTATGTCCGGATTCCTGATTCCAAAATTGAGTGGTGACCCGTTGATCCACTCAAGTCTGATGACATGAAAATACATTAACTCATAGCGCAACGGCAGGCAGAGTCTGTCGGTTTCTCATGAAATGAACTGCGTCAATCAACCAACTCTCAATCATGCGACAAACATACCAGCACCATTCTCAGTGATAACCCCCCCTCCCCCCCTCCACACACACAGGGCTGTCGGTGCTGATCTGGGAGGGTCTTTTCGCTTCACACAGCATCAATTGACGTGTCCTCGAGCTGACTGGTCGGCCAGCACAAACAGCAATCGGGGTAGCTATAGTACAAGAGAAATTCGTCTGTCACTCCTGGCCGGCGGCCATTTTGCAGAACAGCCTGCGAACCGTTGCGGTTGACAGAACCCAACGGCAGCCCGTCGATCGGCAGACCGACGAGTGCTTCGCGCCCAAATCTCTTCCTTCCTTGCCGAATTCTCTTGCGCCCATAACCTCGCTTCCCGCCCTCTCTCTTGCGCATCATGGTGTCAGTGGTCGCCCTCCGCCTTTCTCTCCTCGTCGCTGTGTGCCTCGCCGTCTACACCCTTCCCGGGGCTCACGCCGAATGCGAACCTGACATAGTTGGCAACTGCACCCGTACGTAAGCATACACGGAGAATAACACAGATGCCTTATTTATCCCGCTCGCGTGTGTTCCTGTTGGCTTCATGCAGGCTTGGTGGCTGGGGACCCTCAGAGCCGCCGGGTTCTTGACGGTGAAGTGGTGGCTGCGGCTGACGTGAGAACCGATCAGAATGTGAGAGCCTTCCTCGATGTGGAAGCCGAAGGGGACGTGAGGGCCTTTCGCGATGTGGTTGCAATTCGCAATATGTCTACCCGTGGTGAAGTGAAAGCCAATAGTAAGTAACGATGAGCACCAGGTCCCGTCGCCCGCTGCACTCTGTGTGGTGTTTTGGGTGTGTGTCTGTGTCTTTCCAGGCATAACTGTCGGCAGGCGTGACCCTAACGTGGGGGATACTGGCGGAGATGGCAACATCGTGGCAGCAGGGAGCCTGACTGTCTCGGGTCGCAGCATATCGGCCATCGGTGCGAATACGTTTGTCAGACGTAAGCAACATAGCACAGACATTATCCGCCCTCGTGTGTGTTGCTGTTGTCTCGGCGCAGAATTGAGAACTGCCGGCGCCACGTTTGGTGGTATCGGTGACGTGAACGCTGGGGACGATGTGTTTGTCGGAGACAGTTTGTTTGTTCGCGGGCGGGCCATTTCGAGGGCTTTTGAGCTGAGCGACACCGACAATCAGCCGCCGTCATCCTTCGCAGAGTGGGGCGGGAGGAATCGATCATCGGCGTACGAGGCCTTCAGGCAGCTGCCTGTGCACAGCGACCCACACAACAGGCTGACGCTGGCCGCCCAGGACGTCAGCCGCCTCTTCCCATCGGCAGTGGAAACATTCGAAGACGATGATCAGCCGGAGGAGGGTGGCAAAGGGCGGCCGACGAAGCACACGACGATTGACCTGACCCAGCTGATCTTCACGCAGATGTCCGTCATCCAAGACCTCCAGGCCCGCATCGCCCGTCTGGAGAATGGGGCCGGCCGTCAGCCCACACATCCGGGTAGGCCATCAAGCAGGGCACACACAATAGCCAAACGAGCTCACATGTCTGTGTCTGTCTGTCTGTGTGTCCGTGTGTCTGTGTGTCTGTGTGTGTGGTTGGTGTAGGCCGAGGCGGCAAGAAGGGCAAGGGCGCCGGTGGCCCACCCTCAGTCGTCGACGGCAAGGGCGGCAGCAAGTGAGATGTCTATGTGTCTGTGATGGGTGTCTTGGTGTCCTCACGAGTGAGTGTGTATGTATATCTTTCCGTCTGTGCAAGTGCGCACTTGTATTGCATTGTGTGTTATGGTACGGTATGGATCGTGGAGTGAGACAGACACAGAAGCGTTTTTCTCTGCCCTGACTGACTGACTGGAGAGAGGCGAACTTATGGAGGGAGGAGGGCCTGGCCTGCCGGGGGGTCATCAGAAGTCTGTATGTGTGTCAACATATTTGTGTGCGTGCCGCTGTACACATCACGTGTATTGGACGGCGTCTGTCTGTCTGTCTGTGTCGTGCTGATCCGGAGAGAGAGGTGCGTGCGGTGCTATGTCATTGGCCATCGCAGAGAGGGAGGGCAGCGAGGAGAGGGGCGGGCCTGCGTATGTGGTGAGTCCATCTCTTGGTGTGTCTAGGTCAGTATTTGTCCGCCAGTGTGCACATCCTATTTGTATTTGTGTCGCTAAGTGCGTCCATCGATCGCATGTGTGTCGGTGCACAAACCAATCGCAGGCGACAGAATTCTCCTCCGTCTTGGCTGAGGAGGGAGGCACGGGGCGAGGGAGAGGTCGGTGCCATGTCGGCCTTCGGGCGTGGCAATTTTGGCGCCATTGGACACCTTGTTCGCGCATCGGTTGCTGGTTGGGTCGGATTGTAGTTTTGTGTGAGTGTCCATAGACAGACAGCAGTCATTTGTGTGTATGGCCTCTCTCTCCCTCTCTGTTATTTGATCGATTTGTTTTGCTCTTTGCCTGTGTGTGTGGCGTGGGGAACTATAGGACCTGCCTGCTGCCGTCGACCTGGGTGTGTGTATGGCTGCTGCAGTCAGTGTGCAGACGTCGTGCGGTGACTGTGTGTTCATTCAGAAGTACGAGTGCACCAAATGCCGCGATGTGCGTGCAAATGGTCCTGTCCACTGTCTCAATGCCTCACGTGTGCACGTGTTTAAATTTGCTGAATGCAATCACACAGACACGCGCACACACAGACACGCACACACACCTAGAGTGAGAGAGACAGAGATGTATCCAACACACGGGGCGCATCGCAGCACGGCTGAAGCTGAAGTGGGGGATTAGCAGAGTGTCTGAGACAGTGGAAGGGCAGTCAGGCGTGGGGCAGGAGCCTGTTCTCACTTACTGCTGCTGTCGCTGCTGGTTCTTTCTCTCTGAAGATGTTTGTGTCGTGTTGTGGCCGTTGATTCGTGTAGTAGGCGTGGGTGACGCGAATGGGGAGGGATCGAGGTCGTCTCTCCCCTCTTGCGTGACCTGCTGCCGCCTGACGAATCACGACCACCTCAAGACACATTGTTTTGCGCTGTGCATCGCTTCTCCAACATTGGGGCGGGTGAGAGAGTGAGAGGGTCGGTGGACACAGTCGTTTTGGTGATGAAGTGAGGAGGGGGCTGCTCGTGTACAGAGAGTGACGAACAAGACTAAATCAGATGGATAAGTGAGTGTCGTGCTGGTCTGTGGGTGTATAGCTGTTGGTCTGTCTGCACGTGGGCCAGCCGGTGGACGGAGTCGGTGGCGATTTCTCTCTGATCGCAGTCTCTCTGTCTGACAGGACACACATGCGTCGAATGACTTTGTACTCGTACTTGCGGTGGGACTCGGTGCTATGTATTGAGTTATGCGATGACCTCCACCCACCTTAACATCCACTCAAGTCTGATGAAACCGTACACACACACACACCCACTGGCCACTCAGTGCTATCCGGGAGGGTCTCTCCCTTGATCGGTTGACGTGTCGCCGAGCTGACTGGTCGGCGACACGTCAGATTGAGGAGCTGTCAACGAAGACATTGCGAAATGGAAAGACACCAGACGGCTACAGCTACACGTCAAGACACACTGTTTGGCCGAATGGAGACATAGTCGATGGGTGTGGTCAGGTGGCCTGCGGCCTGGTCATTAGCTGGCGGTAAGGGGATTTGTGCAGATTGCCTATCGTGGGAAGCTGACCTTGTGTGGGGTGTCTGTAATGCGCGTGGGCCAATGGTGGCGGCCGGTGGCACTGATGCTGCATTCTTACATGTCGATACGTTCATCACTAGGTGCTTCGTGGATGTATGCGCTATAGTTCATTGTCCCATCCACCCCACCGACGTACACAATACAAGATGCACACCATCATGTAAGCCGCCACGCATTCTGCCAGGATGTGTGCGATGCTTTTAGGTCAACACAGCGATGGGTAAAAAGCAGCCGGCCACCACCCATGGCAGGTCGGCGACGCCACTCTGTCTTTCTGTACACGCTATCTACCAAAACCACCGTCTGTGGTGGGTGGATGGATGGATGGGAGTCCCTTTTTGCCTGCAGCCGGCTAATGCGACATGCCTGCCTGCCTACCTCGTCGAAAAGCGCTCGAAAAGCAAACGTAGCGCCTTGGCGCAAACACAACAGACAGACAGACACTAAAACCAAAATCGCGCGGCAATCATAGAAACGGTGACACCCTCCCGCCCGCCCCGCTATGCACATGCTGTCTCAGGGACGTTCGAGAGAGTTACAAGAGAGAGATGCAGGGGCGTGCCTGCCTGCCTGCCTGCCTGTGTCTACGGCTACCAGTGGGGCTCGCTCGCGTGGGGAAGCGGCCCGTTGCCACGTGAGCGGCATTTGTCTGTACAGGTCCACTCACTCACCAACTCACTCGGTCGCGCGAATGCGCATATGTCTGCCTAAACCAGCGATGCTGTCTGTCTGTCTGTGTGTACGCAGCCATCCCTGTCGACCATCCACTTATTCGTCCCTCACGGCTGCATTCGAACGACGTTCGCATGGTGGAAGCAATTCCCGCCCACGTCAGCGTGCTCACACGTGATTGGGAACAGCCTCCACCCCCACGAGGGTCGCTCGAATACAGCCACAAGGGTGAGAACAATCATATGGACGGCACGGCACGCACACCTGTCATTTCCATCGAAGGCCCCCCCTCCACCCCTCCTCCCTCTCTCCCTCATCCATATCCATCCATCCGTTCTCTCCGGTGTCTGCCTCAGTGCTGACCATGACGGCGGCGGGCACCAGTGGATTGAGGAGTGTGTCGATTATGCCATCCTCCGTCCATGTCGACACCGAAAAGGCACACGCTAAGGCCGAGATAGATTGCCGTACAGGACAGCCCCTCCCCTGGCAGCATAGGATAGAAAACGGCGAGTGGCAGCATTGCATACGCAGACACACTCCAGCCATACCGTGCCACCCGCAGCCATCTCTACCAGCACATCCGCACTCGTGTGTGTGTGTCATCGCCCTGCCTCTGGATGGAATCGACCGAACGTTGGGGCACACACACAACAGGCACGCAAAACACATCACTCGCCACCTCGGGTCATCGGCTCTCTCTGCGGGTCGGTGCGTGTGTGGTGTCTGTCGCTCGCTACTTGAAAGCCTTGACTCTATAGACCACAAAGAGGGAGACACACGCACGCAGCCAGTGGCACGAGCCTTCGGCGCGCGGAAAAAGACACGACGGCCGCCGCCGCAGCAGACGGACGGCCATCGCTGCATAGCGTAGTCCACCCTCTGTCACACCCCTCCCCTCCTCTCTACGTTGACCGACCGACCGACCGACCGACACAGCTACTGTCTAAGCTGTCGTTCGCCGCTTGGCTGGGTGGCGAGAGAAGCTCCACATCAGTCGGTGTTTGCACCCACCCCTCCTTTGTCTCTCCTCTCCTCTCTAACTTCATTTCATTGGTCGGTAGCTACACGGCTGGGCTGCGCCCTCCCACTCGCCCGCCGAGCCCTCCCTCTCGCCATCTTTGCCGGTCGCCTATCTGCCTTTCTTCGAAAGTAAGTAGCGAGCAGCACACACAATATACACACGACGGACGCCATCAGGCACCTCAGCCAGTGAATCAATCAATCACCCTCGCAGGGTATCTCTCTAAGGTCAGCAGTGGGAGCAAGTGACCCCCATCCCTCTGCACAGATGCCCCGCGCTCCATTCCCTCACTCTACAAGGACTCACTCACACGACAGGACTCAAAAAACCCTCTACACACAGTAATCCGTCCCCTCCCGTCACCCACCCAGTCTCTCCCTCCCTCCCTCCCTCCCTCCCTCTCTACACATCTGTCTAGATCTACATGGCTGTCTGTCTAGATCTACATGTCGTTGGGCTCGCGCCACCGCCAGTTGTCCGAACGCGCACCCATGCCCCTGCTGCTGCTGCCGCTGCTGCTGTTGTAGTTGCTGCTGTTGTAGTTGCTGCTGTTGTAGTTGCTGCTGTTGTGGTTGCCAAACCCCCCGCCGTACCCGCCCTCGTTGTGGTGGCGGAAGGGCCGGTTGGAGCGGCTGGGCGGCGGCGGGGGCGGGAAGCGCATGAAGGCCTGGTTGTTGTTGCTGTGGTTGTGGCGGTTGTTGCTGTGGTTGTTGGGCGTGTGGGGCTGGATGGGGTATTGCGTGTTGGCATGTGGGGGCGGCATCATGTTGGGCCCGCACTGCTCGCGCAGCTTGGGCTGGACGGGGATGTGCAGCTGGTGCATCAGCGACAGCAGCGTGGGGCCGTACTTGTGCTCCTGGCCCTTCCGCAACACAGCCCCCAGCAGGTTGTTCGCCACCTCCGTCGGCACCTGCCAATGGATTCACCCAACACACGCACAAACACAGAGATGCTCACGTGTGTGTGGGGGGTGGTGGTGGCGGTATCAACGCACCTTGATGCCCTGGTTAGCGGCCTGTTGAATGAGGTCGATGGCGGCGTCGAAGTGCAGGGCGTACACGCACCCGTTGATGAGGGTGCCGAACGTGACGCCGTCGCCGCGCTCGCCCTTGCGGTTCATCGTGTCGAACACCTCCAGCGCACGCTTGACCTGACAGGCACACACACATGGATGGATGGATGGATGGGTCATGGTTAGGGAGGGGAGGGGAGGGAGGTACCCCACCTGTCTGTTGCGGATGCACGCTTGTATGAGCGATGTGTAGACGAGCACCGACGGGCGCAGGTGGAACTTCATCTCCATGTCGTCAATCATCTGCACACACACACACACACACACATGCAGACTCCCATCATTGTGTGTATGCGGCGGTGTATGGTATGTGTATACCTGGAATGCCTTGTCCAGCATGCGGGCCTTGCCGTACAGCTTGACCAGGATGGAGAAGGTCACGGCCGTCGGCTTGACGCTCACACTCAACATCTCCGCAAACAATCGCTCACCCAACTCCACATTCGACTGCACATCCACACCGAACACAGCACACTCAATGCACCTTGTGTGTGTGTGTGTGAGGGAGGGGGGCTGGGCCCACCGACGCACCTACCTGTTTGAAGCACCCGTTGAGGAGCGTGTTGAATACGATGTCGTCGGGCTTGAAGTGGTGGCCCTTCATGTCCTCCACTACCTTGAACGCTCCACTCATGTCGCCAGCTGACACGCACAACATGCCCCCAGCCAGCCAACAGATATGCACCCTCTGTCTGCACCCACCCACCACCTCACACACACACACACACACGGACCTTCTACGTGAGCCTGGATGAGGACCGAGAAGGCGATGAGGTCGGGCGCGACGTCCTTGCCCTGTTTGGCGTCGGTGAGCATCTGGTGGTAGAAGCGCATGGCCTCGTCCACCTGCTTGGTGCGGGCGAATCCCTTGAGGATGGTGGTGTACATGACCGTGTTGACCGCGTCGCTGCTCTTGGCCTCTTCAAACACCTGATTGCACCCACAGATGGATATGGATGGATGGGCGGAGGGGTGTGCGGAAGTAGCAGTACCTGCATGGCTCTGGGGAGGTCTCCGTTGTTGATGCAGGCGTCGAGTAGGATGCCGTAGAGGATGGCCGTGGGCTCCAGGTCGGTGTGCTTGAGCCCCTCCCAGAGCTCGAAGCACTCGCGCAGCCGCCCCGCCTGGCCCAGCGCCTTCATCACGTTGCCGTACGTCACCACTGACACCTTCACCTGCATACACACACACACACACACACACACATGTGATTGCTGGAGAGAGAATGTGTGTGTGTGCGTTGGTGTGACCGTACTTTTTGTTGCTGTATGTGTCGGAAGACTTCGAGTGTGCGCGAGAGGTCCTTCATGTGCAGACAAGACTCCATCAAACAGAATGACACGACCTAAACAACACGCCACACCCCACCAGGCATCCACAGGCGGGGAGGGAGGGGGGAAGATCTACCCATTCCACCTCATGCTCACCTCATGCAGTCTCGACGACTCGCTCACGCCCAGCCGTTTGAGGTACTCGAGTGCGGTGTTGAGGTGGGCCTCCCGCGCCGGTCCCTGGCCGATGTTGTGCAGCCCCTTGATGAGGATGGAGCAGGTGTACTTGTCCGCCTCGATGCCCTTCTCCCCCATCTCCAGCACCAGACCCCACGCCTCGTCCAGACGCTTCGAACGCACCGCAGCGTCGATCACCGTGTTGTAGGAAATGTCGTTGGGCTGCAGACCTGACAAAGGAGGAAGGTGACAAAGGAGGAAGGTGGCCAACACAGAAGAAATGCGTATTTGGCGCGCGCCGGTTCGGTGTGTCTGGGTGGGAGGGGGGAGGGGGCGGGGCGGTTGCTGACCGGCGCGTTCGGATGCGCGGAGTGTCTTGAGTGCGCCGTCGAAGTCGCCCTTCTGCGCGTACCCCTTGCTGAGGATGTTGAAGCTCACGATGTCCGCCAACAGGGTCTGACCCTCCTCACACATCTACAGACATCCATCCATCCACCAACACACACACACAGAGGTGTGCATCCGTCCGTGTGTGTGTTAGGAGGGCGTGCGCACCTGGACGGATTCGTTGACGAGTGTTTCGGCGATCTGCAGCTGGCCGGCGCCGACACACGTGCTGAGGACACTGTTGAGGACGAGGCTGTCGGTCTCCACGCCGCAATCCAGCATCTCACGCAACACCTTCAACGCGGCCTGATGTGTGACGATCACACCACACACACAGCACAAAGCACAACAACGGATTTGTGTTGGGGTGTGTGGTGGGGTGGTGGGGTGGTGTGTACCGACTGACCCATGCGTCGTTTTTCTTGGAGTATGCGCGTATGAGTGTGGTGTAGGACTTCATGGAGGGGAGCTCGTGCTTCTTGAGGGCGGCGAAGAACACCTCCACCTTGACCGGGTCGTTGCACTCGAACGCAAAGTTGATCAAACACCTGACACACATAACATCCACACACACAAACCACACACCACACACACAAAGGGGTGGAATGGCGTCCGCACACACGAGAGAGGGGTGGGATGTTGCGTACCTGAGCATGGGTGCGTCGGGTTCGACGTTCTGCTGCTTCATGAGGTCGTAGAGGCCGAGCGCCTTGTCGTACATCTGCTTGGACGAGAAGATCTTCATCAACGCTTGGAAGAACCCAAACGGACACGACACACCGTGCGCCTAACCACACCACACACCACACACAACACACAACACACCATCACACACATAAAGATGGAGATCGACCCACCACACACACACACCCCACACGTGTTCCTCTCCCCCCACACACAGGCGGACTGACCTTCATGGTCTGTATGACCTCCTCGTGGAAGTCCTTGTGGCCTCCGTGAGCCGCAAACGCCACCAGACTCACATACATGCCCTCGTCGTACCCCACATCGGCGTCATACCCCTCACTCACAAACCGCCGATACACGCCATAGGCACGCCCGTTGCGCGTCTTGCACAGGTGCACGATCGTCTGCGCCATCTCCCGAGCCACCTCGCCCCTGTCACGGGGAGCACCGGCGGGCTGGCTTTGGTTCTGTCCGTGGCTGGCACCGGGGGATGTCTCGATGAGCGCGGGTGAGTCGACGAGGGGCACCACACGCTCGCTACGGGGCGTTTCGTCAACAGAGGCGTTCGAGAGAGTGGAGTCGCCATCGCTCTCGACGGTCTTGCCGCTGCCGGGGTGGTGGGCGTCCTTGGACGGGTGGATGGACAGGGGGAATGACGCCTTGGACCACCATCGGGCCACCCACGCGATGAGCGACGGAGACACGTGCCAGAAGACCAGGATGCCCAGGGCGCCCGCCGCCTCCAGGGCGTACATCCACAGCGAGTCGCCCGCCATGGTGCCCAGCAGCATGCATGAGGCCGCCAGCAGCACCGCCGCGACGCACAGCAGCGTTTCCGTCTTGATGCTCAGCTGCATATTGGCGGATCTGGCTGATCTCGGCTGGCGAGAGGGAGAGGGATGTGTCGGTCGGCTGCAGCCGGGAGGTCGCGTGCTGTGCGTCCGGTCAGGCGAGGCACCTAGACCGACGACAGATGGCAGCTATTGTGTGCGTCGTCGCTTCGTTCGTCAGATGGGTGGGTGCGGCGACCAGAGGGGGTGCAGAGGTAGATCTGCTGCGGCAGTAGGCGGGATCTGCCTCGGCTGCGTCGTTTGTGCCAACCCAGAAAGCTCGCTTCATGTTGGCCAAGCTCGCACGTGGCGGGATCTTTCTCATTTGCGGCCGCCCGTTGATGGTCGTGCACATCATACTCTTCCTCTGTGTTCGTACTGCATTATCTTTGCAGTGGTGGAGGGCCACCACCATTTGCTGATTACGAGATCTGCAGCTTGCCTGGAGGAGAGAGGCCTCGACTGCACGGTATTGGAGGAACGTAGACCGCAGCCGCTGTTGTATGAAGGGAGGGTCGGCGTCCAGTTCCTCGGCTCCATCAGATCCTGCCAAGGATGATGCCAAGGACACCGTCTTCACCGACGGTCCGCGCAAGGGCAAGACCTTCCAGTGGGCGCTCGACAAGTAAGCAAGGCATGCGCATGCGCCATATCTGTCCATGGTTTTCTCCTTTCCTCAGTGACCAGGAGTTCTGTCAGGATGCGTACTACCGCTCGAAGATGAGGCCCTTATACGAGGCGCAGCTCTCATTCACTGACGCCCCCGGCACCCCGAAGACCCCGCCGGCAGAGCTCAAGGCCTTCGTGGTACACAAACAAACAGGAACGAGCCCCGTTTCTCAGCCCTTCTCACTTTGGGCAATTGTCTGTGTGTGGGGTTCGCAGGGGTTCAAGCCGGACATGAAGGCGATGGAGCGATGGGTCACATTGGACCTCATGGCAGAGCAGGTGATCCAGGACACCCGCAGAGGCCTCTACTAAGAGCAGAGATATATATATATATATATATATTCTGTCTGGTAGCTGTTAGATCGATGAGCACAGGAAGGAGTTACTGAGGAGAAAAATGCTGGCGGGCTGCCTGAAAGAGAGGGCCATTCTTACGGCCGCCGCTACTTATTGAAAAGAGAAGAAATGGCTGTGCAGTAGTTGTTAGTGTCTTCTATAATGAATGATTCCGGTACGTGTGTGCGCGTGGGACAGCGGCGGCGGGCAGCCTCTCAGAGAGGACATCCCATTTGGCCGCCGGTATAGACGCTGGCTGGCCCTCCCAGAGCTGCTTGGTAGGATGTGTATGCTGGGTTGAATGTGTGGGGGTGAGTGTGTGGGACAGCCGGGGGAATACGCAGGTGCACATGTGTGTGTATGTTTAAATGTAGACAGAGAGGCATTCATCCATATATGTCCGCCAGGGGCCACCGATACAGGCAAGACAGACAGACAGACAGGCAGGCAGACAGGCCATCCATCCATTCTATTCACAAAGTAACCACGAATTTGCTGTTTGCTTGACAACAATCCAACTCCTCCCACCTCCTCCTCCCGCCACACTATCATTCAACCAATTGCACCCACATGCACCCATACTGCCATCCATCCATCCGTCTATCACGTCACTCGTCAGCGGCGAACGGGTTCCCCGTCGGGCTATCGGGCAGCACCAGGTCGTCATCGTACTCGTAGTACTCATCTTCACCTCCATCCTCCTCTGCGACACCGTCAACACCACCAGCAGCGGCAGCGTCCTCAGCGTCATCCTGATGGCCGTTGCAGCTGGCTGCCTGTTCGCCACTGGATGGCTCGTCGACAGCCACGCGTGATGGGTGCTGTGGATTAGGCGGGTCCGTGAAGGCCGGTGGGTGCGGCTGCGGTGCCTCGGTGGCGATGGACTCCTCGCCAGGTACGGGTAAAGGCTCCCTGTGTGCAAGGGATACACAGACAGACGGAGGATGGTCGAAGGCTGTTGTTCACCGTTTGATTTGCCTGTTCTGACCTGGCGATCTCTGGTGCTTCGTCCTCTTGCTGCAGCTGCTGGTGGTTCTGGTGGTGGTGGTCCTGGTGGTGGTTGTGGTGCTGCTGTTCATGATCCGCTGTTCCGTTGGCAGGTCGGTAGAAAATGTCATCCTCCTTGCTCGCCCCATTCGCCCGCTGTGGTGCCACCGCACCAGCAGCAACACCAGCAACACCAGCAAAGGCAGCAGAAGCGGCAACCGGCGCGGGTCGCGGCGAATTCTCATACACAACCTGATACACACACACACTCACCCAAGCAGTTGCACACGCCGCCATCCACGCCTCCCTCCCTCCGTCCCGCCCTTCTCTCTCTCACCTCCTGCCTCCTCGCGTGGATATTCATGGGTGGCGGGGGCAGTGGCGGGGGCAACTCACGCACCTCGCGATAGCGCGGCTCCTGGGGCCGCATGGCGTCCCATCCGCTGTTGGGCAGAGGCCTGAAGGCCGCCGCAGCAAAGGGGGCCCCCTGACGCACCGGCACGGGCCGCGTCAAGTGCAGCGGTCGGTGTGTGGGTGAGCCGGCTGTGGGGCAGTAGGTCGATGGGGGCTGGGGGGGAGGGATGGGGAACTGCATCAACACGGGAGGGCGGGCCAGGGGCTTGGCCTGATGAGCAAAATAGACAGACAGATGGAGACAGATGGCAGGTTGCGAGTGCATTCGTGTCCTCGTGAGTGCATTATGTCTTCACTCTCTCTACCTTGCGAGGACTGAGTCCGCCGGCCTGGAGGAGTGGGTCCAGCCGCACCTCGCCCCCGCCCGTCCGCACCTTCCGGGGACTCAGCCCGAGACCCTCAGCCTGGCCCAGCCACCCGTTCACCGCTCCACCGCCCTGCACCCCTCTCGGCACACGCAAATGCACGCGATTGTCGCCTGGAGCTTCCGCGAAGCTGGAGGGCGCTGAGAGAGGCGATCCGAACGAGCGGACATCTGCAGCCGCGTGGACCGGTCTAGGGGGCGGATAGTGATGGCGATGTACGAGTGGCGGGGAAGCCGAGTGCCCGAATGGCTGCTGTCCATACGCCCGGACGGGCACCCTGAGGGTGTCTGCGGCTCCAGGACCTCCCTGCCCCGGCATCATCTGTGGCGACCCCTGCTGCTGCTGCTGATGCTGGTGGTGGTGGTGGTGGTGTTGGTACTGCTGCTGCTGTTGCTGCTGATGTTGCTGATGGCCGGACCGACCAGATGATGGTGACGACACGGGCGAGTCGTGGTGGGATGGCCGTGAGGATGGCGATCCGTCCGCAGAGTGGCGGATGTCGACGAAGCCGTTGGGTGTGAAGACGAGAGACCCGTTCACGAGTGGCGGCGAGGGTGAAGCGGGGGCGCCGGCGACATGCGGTGGAGGGGCAGTGGTGGTGGGTGTGGATGCCTGGGTGGGGTCGAGAGGCGGCTTCGGGAGGTTGGCAAGGTCCAGGGGCCTCCGCTTGAAGGTCTCATCTGAACACACGACAGCCAACACACACAGTTAGCTACAGAAGGCATCAGCACACACAGCTAGCTTCACAAGGCCTCTCTCCCTCTCTCTCTGTGCCTTTTGCACCCACTCCAAGCGAAGCTCTGGACGCCCCTCTGCATGTTCTCCACCAGCCACGACGCCGGGCTGCCCTCCCTCCTAGCAGCTGCCAGAGGGGGCACAATGGGCGCAGGCTCCATCAAGCCCGCGCCGCCCTTGCGCGTCGCCTCGTTGCGGGTCATGTGCTGGACCATCTGGTGTGCGGGAAGCGGCATGGGCCCTCGTGGCGGTGCGATTGGCATGGTGGACCTCGGTGGCGGCACTGGTGGCGGCACCGGTGGCTGTGGAGGTGGAGGTGGGCGGAAGCGGCAGTCGATCAGCAGCTTGTCGAATGCCGCCTTGCCGCCCTTGAGCAATGCTACGCCTGAAGACAGGAAGGATCAGCCAGCCAGGCATACACACGGGTACATGGGTCGCTCTGTATCGACCGAGCCTCTCCTCTGTCGTGGTCTCACTCACCTTTGACCCCGTGTATGACCATCATGGCCACCAGACGCTTCAACGGCTCCTTGGACATGTCCAGCGCCATCAGAGGGTTGGCCACATGCAGCTGCCTCCGCTTCGCACGACGCTGCTGGCCTCTGCCGTGCGGCGGCTGTGGGCTGCCACCCTCCCTCTCTCTCTGTGTGGGTCCGGGGTGCTCGTGTGGTGGAGAGGGTGATGAGAGGGGCGTGGAGGTGTCATGGTTGTCTGTGTCTGTGTGGGACTCGTCGATGACTCTGCCGTCCTGGTTGGCTATCACGAAAAGGGGGCGGTCGGTGGGACCGAGCGCGCGCTGCTGACCCAGGCAGACCGCGATCAGCTGACTCACGGACTGCTTGATGAGGCACACAGACAGATAGACAGACAGAGAGAGAGAGAGGAAAGAATGACCAGACGGCAATGGAGTGGGGGTTGTGCTGGCCGATACTCACGTGTCTGTTATCTGGGTCGACGACGTACACTATCATGTTTGCGGGCCATTTCCGGATCTTGCCATCCATCCGCCGCACACTCTGCGGCCGCGTGTCCACTATCGCCGTCTTCCACCTCAGTCCGCCGTCGGCCTCGTCTGCTTCCCCGCCCGCACCAGCACCGCCGCCGCCGCCTGCTGCGGCCTTCTTGGCGGCCCCGCCGCCCTTCTTGCCGCCGAATAGGGCACCCCCACCGCCACCCCCACCGCCACCAGCACCACCCCCACCACCCTCGCCGCCCTTTCTACTACTGCACGGCTCCACGCTCGCCATGATGTCCTGCGCCTCAATGTGCAGACAGAACAGAGGCGACTCCTCGATGAGCACTCGCGGCATCCCCTCTGTGCCGTTGGCCATGTCGAGGGCGTTCTTGAATGGGTTGAATGAGTTGAGGAGCGCCCATGGGTTGGTCTTGCTGCTGTTGCTGCTGGTGGTCAGGTCGTCGGACCGAGTGGTGTCCGATCTGGCGGAGCTGCTGGGGGAGGGGACGGGGAAGGCCGGATGGGGGTCGGGGGATGCCGGGGAAGACGGCTTGCTAATTGACAGCAAATCGGGCCTGAGGGAATGGGAGAAAAGAAAAGAACTAGCGACGTGTGTGCGATTCTCTCTCTCTCGTGTGTGTGTGAGTGTGTGTGCGCGCACCGTCCTGACACGTCCCTCAGGAGTGTCAGAAAAGTCAGTGGCGTGGCGTCGCGTAGCTTGAGGGCCTCCTTCACAAGCGCAGTCAAAGGGAAGGGACGGTACTCTGATGCACACACACACGACAGATATGCATAACCATCCAACCGAGTGCGCCGTTTTTTTCTTGCGTCAGTCACCGTGTCCGTTGGTCTGCGCGTCGTGTCCGTTGCCGCCCTCCTCGTGTGCCGCGGGTGGGCTACAGTCGGCGTCGAAGCTCCTGAGGAGGAAGTGGTGGAGGTTGTCGCTGCTGCCCCGGTGGCTCAGCAGCCGCTCCCGGTGCATCGTCAGCCACCCCAATGCGATGAAGTAGACCATCGTGTACGACGGCTGACACGGAACCACACAGACAGACAGACAGACAGACATGGGAGGACGTGTGTGTGTTGTTTTCGGTCTGTTATGGTGGCATACTTGGTGCTTGAGGCACTCCCGCCAGAGTGCGAGCAGCAGATGCACGTCACGGAAGCATGATGTGTACAAGGATGTATACCACCTGCACACAACACACACAACACAGACAACACAGACAACACAGACAACACAGGAGGTCGGTCCGTCCGTGAGCGGCCGGCCAGGTGGGTGGCTGGCTGGGTGGCTGGCTGCCGTGTGAGTGTGTGGCTCACTTGACTAGGTAGAGGTCCGGCATGATCTCCTGGTTGTCCAGCGCCTTGCTCAACTCGGGATCGTGAAACTGAAGCAACAGCCTGCCCACACACACACCACACCACACAACCATGACAAAGACCTCTCCTCCCCTCCCTCCCTCCGTCCACCTATACAGTACCTGGTGACTTGACACATGAGTTGGAGAGGCAGCACGGGCCCTCTTGACGATAGGCTCATCTCGGCCTCGTGGAAGATCCTGGCGCCCATATTGCGGATGATCATGTCAAGGCACCCCAGCAGCTGCGGGCGGCTGGGCCGGGGAGCCAGGAACAGGAAAGGCGCACACACCTCGTGCAGACCTGCACGGCCAACACAACAAAACACAACACACACAAAAGGCAGGCTCCCCGGCGCGTGTGTGCTGGAGGGGTGGTGTGTACCCTGCTTGTAGTAGTGTATGTCCTTCCGCCGCAGCGCACAGTAGTGGGCCAACACCGCCTGCAGCTCATCCTGCCACACACACGAACACAAACACGGCCACGAGCATCAGCTGGTCGTTTGCCATGGACACGTCAGTCAGGTCGCGGCCGACTCCTACTTTGGTCTCCTGTGCTTGGAAGAGGGCATAGTGCTGCCGAGTGCGCTTGACGTCCTCCGCAATCAACTGCAAAAAGCGACGGCAAAAAGGCAGACAAGACATCCGCCATTCAGTTGCAGCGGAATGGCAATTCTCACCTCTACGTTGTGCACAGGCTCCTTCCCCGAGGTCCTTCTCTCCTCCTCATGGGCCTCTATGGTCTTCTGGTAGGTGAGCTCCTTGACGCCGAGCGTCTTGAGCCACTTATCGAGATCTAGCGATGCATCGGTCGGGCCTGTCGATGCCGTGTCTGCCTCCCTCTCCTCCGCCATTGCAGCCCTCCTTTACCCAACAACTCTTTGGCAACGTGAGCTCGCAACAATTTTGCTCGCAGCAGGCGCGAGAAGGGGGACGGGCGGCCTTTCTCGCCCGTCAAGGTCAGCACGGCTGGTTCTCTTTCTTTTGTCCAATTGCTTTTGTCCGTTCAGGATGCAGGCACAGGAGGCTGCGCCCTTACCGGCCGCCCCGGCCGACAAGGAGCAGCTGTACAAGTAAGGACGGGAATGGAGAGGGGAATGCAGATGGCCGATTCGAACCACCAGCTGAATGGCTGTGGCCCGTGCAGGCGTATCATCGACATGAAGAGCACCTTGAGAGTGGACGACAGCTTCATGGAGCAGACCAAGGCCTTCATCATGGGGTACAGTACGCCACATGGCTGCTCAACCACCCACCCATTGCAAAACACCATCCATCCATGTGTGTTGGGTGTGTGTGGTGTTGTCCACCCATCAGTTTGCGTACCGTCGTAGGCGTCACGCGTGTGAGCGACCTGATTGAGAAGCTCGAGGACCACGTGCGGAGCATCAGAGAGACCCCTGCCAGCTCTGCCGATGAACTCTCCACCACTGACGAGACCAGGCAGGCCGTCGTGGAATTCCGGCAGGCACTCTGGACAGAGGTGCACGGCCGTCGCACGTTCGTGCTGGCCACTCAGGCCGAGAAGGAGCAGCTACACCAGTAAGCGGCCATAGACATAGACATGGGGAAGGGTGCCCGACAACCAGGCATGTCTTTGTGTGTGTGTGTCTATGTGTGTGTGTGTGTGTGTGTGTGTGTGTGAAGGCGTATTGTCAAGTTGAGGCCCACGTTGAAGCTCAGCGTGAATTTCCTGGCGCATACCAAGAGCGTCATCATCAAGTGCGTCAGACACACCTGCCTGCACACACATGCACCGCAGACTTCCACACGCTTCTCTCTGTTGTACGCCTAGTTTGAAGGGCGCCGCGGCCGTCAAACGTGTGTGTACACTGATTGAGAACCTCGAGAAGCACACGCAGAGCATCAAGGGCCACATGCAACACACGCCCAGCGGCTTTGCCGAGGCCCCCTATAGCTTGAACGAGACACACGTCTTCGTCCACGGGTTCTGGAAGGACCTGTGGAGGGAGGGACAGCGAGACGACGCCGCCCACAGGAGCGGCCAATAAGAGGGCTGGTGGCGGACCAGTTCACCATGGGCTGCCACACTGGCTGCTCACGCTCTCTGCTGGCCATTGAGTAAGATAGAGACAGACAGCGTGTGTCGAGTGGTGTGCGTCTGGTGGGCGAGATGAGGCTGCACACAGATGGGAGATCTCAGGGGGAGGGTCGGGAACAACCTGACTCTTTGTCTGTGTGGGTGTGGGTGTGTGAGCGAAACACACGGATGCGCGAGGGGCGGGGGCGGGCTTCATGTGCACCATGGGCTGAACGACTGAGACCTTTCATGGTGCGGTGCATGGATGTCGGATTCAACACACATGCATCGATCACAGAGGCGTTACGTCCCGCGTGGGCTGAATGAACGTCGCCGAACAATCCATCCATCCATCCATCCATCCATGGAGCATCCCAAAACACAAACTGTACAGCACAGAACCGATGGACGGATGGATGGACACAGGTGTCTGTCTGTCTGTCGGTCTCTCTGCCGGCCGGCCTTTCATGCGTTGATCTGTGTGTGCGACACGACATCAGCGCGGCACATGGGGCAGGTCGGCTGGCGGTGTCTCTGTCTGCTCCGCGACCAGCAGCCCGCACACATGCACATGTGGCTGCAGGGGTGGAACACGACACATGGGCTCCTCTCGGTGCACACCACACACTTCCTCTGATCCTCCAGGTCCACCAGCCTCGCCTGGCACCGACGGCCGGTGGTGTGCAGGTGGTCGAGGGCGGCCACGACGTCCTGCAGGGATGAGTTGATGTCGGCCTGCAGACGGCGGACGGCCTGCTCGTCCACTGCCGTGCGGAGGCGATCATCGTAAGAGCTGCACACAGCCACAGACACATGCGGGAAAGGTGTGAGGTGTGTGGTGTGTCAGTGCTGGAAGCGGCTGACCTGATGGCCGACGCATTGACGAACCCGGTGTTAGTGCCGTTCTGTTCCTTCTCCAACCTGCGCAAAAAGATACGGCTTATCCGACCCGACAGTGGCTCTAGCTTCTCCGCTGTACGTGTAGCTCACGACCGTTGCATTCTTTTGGTGGTCTCGTGCTTCTCGTGCTGCAGATTGGCCAGGCTGTCCTCACACCTGATGCGACAAGACAAGCCACAATATGACCTGCGGCACGTTTGTTGCTGTAGCATGATGAATGACTGTTCTGACTTGCTTAGTTTCTCCGTTAGGTCCTCAACGGTCATCGCGGCACGCTCCTTGTCGATTTCGAGGCTGACAGGCAGATCACATGGATATGGATGGAAACGTGTCTCCCTCCCACTCTGACTGACTTGTTCTTCGTCTCCTTCAGTGCTGCGATGGTCGTCTGCTCACTCAACAACCTGCACACACACATGTGGGAGACACACACACATGGACAGACAGCTCACGCGCGTGTCGTTGATTGTGTGTCCCTACATGTGCTTTAGGTTCTCATTTTCCGCCTTGAGCCGCTCGAGAGCGGCGCCCATCTTCCTGCCTTTCGTCTCGGCACTGACCCGGCAAATGCAGACACAGCAATGGCGGCATGGATGGGACATGGGTACCTCTGTCGCTCCTTGTTGAGGGCGTCCTGGAGGGCCGCCTCTCGCTCAGCCGCCATGGCCTGGTACTGCTGTAGCAAGTTGACGTACCTGCACGCACAAGGCACTCGCTGCTGCTTCGTTCATGTCTCTGCTCACTCAATCACTCACTCGTGCTCAGAGATGCCGTCGTCTCCTGTGGTAGCCACGCCGACTCCCCCATCGCCACCACCCATACACACAGATCTGAAGGATCCATCCATCCATCCATCGTCTGGCTGCCTGCATGCCCGTGTGCTGCTTACACTGGATTGTCGTGCCCCTCTGCCCCTTGTCCATGTGCGACACCTTCACCGCCACCCGCCGCCCTCGTTGATACCGACCTTCGATGGTGTCTCTTCTTGGCACGTTTGCCGTGGGCACTGGCAGAATCTGACAGAGAACGAAGCGCATGGGCTACTGCATTGCTCCTGCCCTCTTGCTGACCTTGTTGCTGTTGGGCGAGGTCGGTATCGACATGGCGAGGCTGCGCTGCCCGTGTGGTCAGTGACGATATGACGGAGCCAGCCCAGAGACACAGCGACGTGATGGCTGTGCCGGCCAGAAAGAATGCGCTCCAGATGGCTCCGATGACAACACCGAGCCCCTGGCAAAGCAGCCGCAGGATGAGTCCAAGGAGTGCTGAGGCTCGACGACGGCATTGGTGAAACAATCGGGTGTCTCTGAGAATCCACTGCCACACGCCGACCGCACAGAACACCGCGACCGCCAGCGAGAGCAGAAGGTCATAGACTTGGCTTTTCATTGTGTCGATGTGTGCTGTCTCCGCTGCCGTCAGCAGCGCCTCCAGCTTCTTGTGACCCTGTCCGTCCACACACCACTCACGTGAGGGTGCCATCGATCTGCGTGCAGTGGGTGCGGCGCTCTCACGGCTTCAATGGCAATGTCGAGCGGCTTGGTGTTGTCGGAGCCAGAAATTGGAAGAGTGGGATTTGCGCCATTCGTGAGAAGCGTCTTTGCCACCCGGACACAACCGCTGACAGAGTAAATGACCGCCAGTCTTTGTGTGTGCCTTGATCTCTTTCGTCATCACTCACTTGTATGCCGCCCAGTGGAGGGCTGTACCGTATTCGCCAGCAGCATTGACGTCGGCCCCCCGTCGTAAGGCCATCTTAACAATCTCTGCCTGCCCCCGTGTGCAGTTACGGCAAGGCCAGAATGGCTTGGCTGCCCGGCAGTCGAAGGTGGCCGCCAGCACAACTGGGGTGCCGAGGCTGGAGCGCGAATGAACATCCGCTCCGTTGTGCAGCAGCCGCTCGAAACAAGGGACACAAGGCTGACCATCAGGACAACATGCAAGTGTCTCTTATACCGTCGGACTCTTCATCTGTCTCACCACCGGCATGGCGGCCTGTGAGAGCGCAGTGACATTGGACACACGAAGGCGGCCGTCAATGACGGAATGTCTGAAGCGAGTTCCGAAAGGAAGTGGTGGATGAAGCATCTGCATCCCAAAGTCGGGGCCTGTGGCCTCAATATCGATTCCTGACACACACAAGCACAAGGCAAAGATAGATGCCACACCTGTGTCGTCCTGGAGGGGCTTTGCAGTGGCCAACCGTGGTCGATGAGCGTTTGGATCTTATCCAGACAGGAACTGCCAATGGCATCATTGCAGCCCGACAACGCCATGTGCAGCGCGTTGGCATTCATGTGGTTACGGCCGTTGATGTCGACTCGCTTGCCGCCCTTCCTGGCGGGGGTTGCTTGCAGCAGCAGCTCGGTCAGCCTAGGATTGCTGGCGTTGACGGCATGGTGGAGCACGGAATTGCCCTCCTCATCACGCGCATCGAGGTTGGCCACGTGTGGCAGCAGCAGGGGCACTGTCGACATGGGATCTTGGCCATGAATGGCAGCAAAGAGGGCGGCTTGCAGCTGGGTATCGCTGAGATTGGTGCTGAAGGAAGCCAATCGGAAGAGAAACGGCCACACCTCACCCTGCAGAAGGAGCGAGGAGGAAGGACAGGAATGAGAGAACGGAATTCGAAGTGCGCGGGCTGGAACAGACGGGCAAGTCGTACCTGGAAAGCGGCCTTTACGAGGGGAGTCGAGAGACTGGCATTGGCTGGATTGACAAGACCTGCCAACAGGTAGAAAAACACCATCGTTCCATCGTTCGGATAGTGTCCGGGTGATCCTGGCCGACCTTGGGAGAACGTGCCAGAGGTGCAGCAGCACAGCGCCGCAAAGAGAAGAAAGGTCACAGGCAGGATCCGCCACATCATGGAAGCATGGCGGTTCCGTGTTTTACAGATGAGAGCTTCTGTTTCACGGATTCCAGGGTCCGACTCATCAGGCGTTCAAGAGTTCGCCAACCATGCAGGCGTCAGGCTCTGCACCTGTGCAGGCGACTCAGGCCGACAAGGAGCGGCTGTACGAGTAAGAGGAGGGATGGGAAAGGAATCTGCAGAGGGCGAGCCACAGGAGCTGTGTGTCGGTGTGTGCGTGTCTGCATGTTCACAGGCGCATTGACAACCTGAAGGGCACGTCGAAGCTCAGTGCCAGTTTCCTGCAGGAGACCAAGACTGTCATCATGAAGTCGGTGACACGCTCGCCTGCCAGCACATGCACCACAACCCCTCCATCTTGCACTTGTTTCAGTTTGGAAAGCGCCGCGGTCGTCACACGTGTGGGTGCGCTGGTCGATGGCCTGTACGAGCACGCCCAGCGCATCCCCTGCAGCTATGCCGACACTCCCGTGAGCTTGGCCGAGACCATAGAGGCCGTCAAGGTATTCTGGAAGGACCTGTGGAAGGAGGGACAGCGAGATCTCGCCTACCCCAGGAGTGGCCAATAAGCGAGCCACACCCATCTATCTATCCATCCATCCATCCACTGCATACTTGGATGTCGTCTGGCTGGCAGTGCATCAATGGTCTGTCTGTATGTGTGCATCTCCTCTTTTACAGTGCACCCACTACACCTCACCTGACTGACCCATATGCTTTGTCTTTGTTGTACAGTGAGTGCCACATGCGTGTGTTCGTAGATAGCCTACGGCAAAGCGAGAGTTTTCTTTCATCGTTTGCACGGGGTGTTGTCTTCGCTGCATGCCATCGCTTGTCACATTCACTCTTGCCGCATCTCTCTGGGTGTGTCGTCGTTTCGTTTGATTCCATGCGGTGACGCTAGGTCTTCGTGCGGGCTTCCGTACGATGACCTACCCGTGCCGCACTGCGGACAATGAGACGACGAGCCAACCAGAGGAGTGAGCGAGGACAGGAGAGAGAGGAAGTTGTGATTGCACGGTGCATCCAGTGAGTGGTGCGTACCTTGATGTGGTGGTGGTGTTGCCGTCTCGTCGCCGTGTTGGTTTCTGGCCCGACGGTGTCATGGCGGGCGGGTCAGACAGCAAGTGAGCATGGGTGTTCATCCATCAGCTTTGGCTGAGGGAATGCAGGCGTGTACGGTCGTTTTGCCGTCGTGGTGGTCCGTGTGAGATAGGATTGTTCTCGGGCGGGGGGTCTGCCTGCGCAACGGCTTGGATGTATCTATCTACCTGTGTGTACATAATGACTGGGGTGGTGGGGGGTGGTGGTGGTGTCGACACACGTGCTGTGTTGGATGGGTGCTTTCCGTTCATGCAGATGCGCCTGACGTCCACTCCTGCTGACAGCTCCGTCAGCAGGGGAAGTCGTCGGGTGCAGCTGGCCAGACGGGAAGACCTCACTCACCAGTCAGCACACGTGTCCATGTTTGGCTGTGTCTATAATCGGATGCATCTACCTAGATGGGTCGGTGTGCATGGGGGGGGGGATGTACAGACCAACAGACATTGTCGCATGTTTGCAGTACAAACAAACGGTCTCTTGGTAATATGACAACCAAGGAAGACACACACAACCCAGCCATATGTCGTTTGGTGCACACTTTACACCACGCACATAAACACCACCGAAATCAGTCTGCAATCAGCACAGCGCCGAACCGCTCCTCTACACGCTCGCAACACACTCACTGACGCAAAAAAGCATATGGACTCCTCACCTTGTACACACACTCAGCCTCACTGACGTGTCTTCGTCCGGCGACCACGCCCATGTCCATGTCCATGTCCATCGCTGGTGTGTCGGATAGCCTGCCTGAAGAAATTGACGGCGTGGAGCAGCAGTGGGGTGCGGACCGAGTCGGTCTCTGAGAGCAGGTTGTGGTAGGCGTGGGGGAACTCCACCAGCTGCGTGTGGTGCGCTCGGTAGCAGAACTTGCGCTGACAGACATGCCAACACACACACACACTCACATATGCAGAGGGGCGAGATGAGGGCGCGTGTGCGTACCATTGGCGATTTCCAGACGAAGTCATCAATTCCCGCGAGAAAGACAACCGTCGGAGTGTCGAAGCGACGCCACTGCAGCAATTGCGGACCATACACACACAGACGCCGTAGGATCCACAGCCCCTTTTGCATTCTCACCTGTTTCTTGAATCTGAATCCCGCCTTCATGCCCTCCTTGATCCAGTTGAACGACGGCCCCCTGATCATGGTTCGCGGCAGCATGCCCCTCATCCGCTCCCACGCACTCTTCCTGTCATCGTCATGAGTAATGCGAGCACCCAACTCAGGATTCTCCACTGGATGGTCGCCCAGGGGCGAGCGTATCTTTCTCCCTGCCAGAATGGCAATGCGCGCCAGCCATATGGCGAATCGATTCGGGCCGGCAGGCGTCTTCATGGCCAACATGGGGGCGGACAGCGCCATGCGACAAAAGAGTGGGGAGGGGGGATCGCTTTGCTTGGAGTTGTGCTGAGCCACCAGTCCGATGAAGGCCCCCATGCTGTGGGCGACATAGAAGAGGGGAGGGGCAGGGCGAGTGCGGGCGATTGCAGGGGACCTGTGGGTCGGGGTAGCCTTGACGACCTCATTCACAAATGTGGTCAGGTCGTCGGTGTAGTGGTGGAACCGCTCCACGTGAGTGATCCACGGCCGCCCTTCTCCCAGCTCGTGGCCTGACAGCCCCTGGCACCGATGGTCGAAGGTGAAGACCGAGAAGCCAGCCCGATACAAGTCGCGAATGAGCTCCCCATACTTGACATGGCACTCAGACCACCCCGTCGCCACAACCACACCAGGCAGCAACGCGCCTTCACTGTCGTAATGCGGGAAAGCCCGATAGACAATCCGCACCCCATTGGCGCCCCTGAAGCTGCCGTGCCGCCCGTGGCGCACAAAAAAAGTGATCCCGCGGTTGATCCGCCGCCACTTCCTCCTGACGGCCTCTGTGGGCGCCTCCGAGAGGCGCAGTCGACAGTTGAGCAGCCGCCGGTTGACCAGCTGCTCCTCATGCTTGTGCAGGGTGCGGGAGCTGATGTGAATAACATGGTTCTCGCCATGAGTGCTGATGCCAGCTCTCCGTAAGGGAGCTGCAACGGTGGCGTTTGCAGGGCGCGATTCGGTCTTGGGGTGGGAGGGGACAATGGCAGGAGGCTTGGGCTGCACGAGGGCTGAATGGCCGGTGACGGGGAGCTGGCGTTGCCCGTGGAGCAGAGGGAAGAAGATCTGCAGATGCAGCAAGCAACATTCATGAGAGGTAATGTCTGCATCTTGCTGGTGCGTCCTCACCCGTGCGCGTGGTGCTCCGATGAATGCGCCCGTCCTCGCAGCGTCGCCGGCAGCAGCTCTCGACGCAATGAGCAGCAGTGTCACCGTGACGACCGAGATCACTCGTTTGATCAATCGCACGCATCTTGCTGCCTCCACTGATGCAAAGGACATCTCTTTTGCTTCTCTTCTCTTCCTTTCTTTTTTCTGCTTAGCTCGCAAAGGATCGGCGAGGGGCCTCTCACCGCTTTCAAGGGCACCCAGAGGCTTCAGGACGCTACATCTTTCTAGATCCATGAGTCAGACTGTGGAATCGACGCTTGTTTCTTGAGTCACTTCGGCAGCGTGATGCAGATCTCTGGAGCGCTTCCCGTCGTCCTCTGGGCTCTCTTTCAGCCCGCGTGGCTCAAATGTGACGCCTTCATGCTCAGACATCCATCATCCTCAGTCTCGACACACAAACACCGTGGTAAGCCAACACAGAATGGATTCGTCTGCTGCATGTGATCTATCTTTTGTGGACGGCCCATGTGTCTGCAGGTGTCGTGGCGAGGCCCTACTTGATGACGAGTTCAGGCGAAGGTGGTGGGGATTTGGTGACGGTGCGGCTGCTTTGTGAGGAGGGCACTGCGCTGGACCCAAGCATCATGTCGGTGAGCCAGCCATACAGAGGGATGAGCAATGAGATGCTGATATCCTGTGCGTGTGTGTTCGTGCTTCAGGAGCTTCTCATGGACAGCGGGGCGCTCTCGGTAACTGTGCAGAGAGGTGGAAGTCAGCCACCAGGCGCAGGCCAGCTGCCGGAGGGGGACTCATCGATTGACGTCGAATACGAAGAAAGGGGGCACATTGACGCGGAGAAGATGCGAGGTCGGTATTGGAAGTCGTCTGATGTGGTCGCCATGTTTCCCAAAGACTGCAACGTCAAGTGAGCCATCGGCCGTCTGCTTGCTTGCATGCCTGCCTACCTGCCTGCATGCCTTTCGCATGTGTGTCGCTCTGTCTGCCTGTGCGTGTGTGTGTGTCGACAGGGCGGTGATGGAGTTCCTCCAAGACACTCTCGAGCTGGAGAGGACACCGACCTACCAGGTCAAGGAATACAGACAACGCCACACGTGTGTATGCAGCGTGATTTCTGTTGGCTATTCTACAGGTGGGGAGCATCTCGGCCTCGATCGACTGGATGAGCAAGATCCAGCAGGAGGTGAGTCGACCGATACACGAAGTCCAGCTGGAATCGTTCATGTCTGGGGGGGGTGGATGGGGATTCATGTGTGTGGTGCTTGGTGCAGTGGCCCCCCATACACATCGGCAACCTCACCATACGGTTCCCATGGCACGAAAGTGACACAGATCGGGGAGAGGGGGACGGCGTGAAGACCCTTGTGCTGGAGGGAGGTCCTGCATTCGGCACAGGGGACCATCCCACAACGCGGCTGTGCTGCCTGTGGATGCAGAAGGTAGGTGGGTGAACACATACAAGTGTTGCTGGCCCTTAGGGTGAATTCCAGTGGCTGTCAGGTGTTGCGTGAGATGAAGGAGGATGCCCCATCAGAGCCAATAAACGTCCTCGACTACGGAAGGTGAGCAGGCGACCGACCACACACACATGCCGTCTCCTGTGAACCATTCTCCTCTCATCTCTCAGTGGCAGTGGCGTCCTCACTCTCGCCGCAGTCCTTTTCGGCGCATCCCACGCAGTCGGGATCGAGATCGACCCAGCGTCCCTCACGTCGTCCCGGCGCAACGCAGACATTAACAACCTCACACACGTCACCTCATTCTCACCCCCGCCCCCGTTCGATCCCACCCTCCGTCTGGACGACGATGCCAGCAGCGGCGAAGATGACAGTGCCAGCGAAGAGGAGACAGAACGGATGGCGGCGCAGTGGCGGGCGCAGTTTGTGCAAGGGGGAGAGGGAGGGACGGCAGGAGAGGAAGGGGGTGCGATCGGTGGAGGGAGGTTTCATGTTGTGGTGGCCAACATTCAGGCGAGGCCGCTGGTGCGGCTGGCCAGGTCAGCGGACCTGCGAAAGACGTATTCGACCCAGAACCTAATTGCTGTGTGTGTTTGTGCAGTGTGTTGGCGGCTATGTCGGCTCCCGGCGCACGTCTGGCCCTCTCAGGTGTCACCACGCCCAGAGTAGGCACACAGAGAGAGGGAAGGAGAGGCATGATGGACGGAAGAATGTGGTTTTGCGTGGCCGTATGCCATGCAGGCGTCGATGGTGGTGGATGCGTACCGGCGTTACTTTGACAATGTGCGTGTGGAGCGAGATGAGGACGAGTGGGTGCTCATCACCGGCACCAGGAAACAGACGTGATGGGACGGGACGGGGCAGTGTGTGTGTTGTGTGTCGATAGATGGACGGATGGATGGATGGTGTGGTGATGGTGATGGTTTGATGTGGGAGGGTATGCATGGACAGGCTTGAAGAGACGTGGGTGGCTTCGAGTATGAACGTGTCGTGTCCCGACTCAACCAATCAATCAGTGTAATTCTGCACCCATATGAGTGCACATGTCCCTTTTCGTTTCCGCCAGCGCTGCTGGCCTGGCCCTCCTTCTGACGTGTGGCGGCACACGGCAGAAGGCGAGGATGGCACAACTGCGGCAAAAACGAAAAGGAATACCGATCAGTGGTTCGTTGTTACATATCTTGTGGGTTGACTGTACAGATAGACTGCCACCACATCTCTCGACCCACCCGAAGGACACAGGCGCCTAGCAATGCCCCAGTCAGTATGGCGGCTCGGGCAGCTCAGGCAGGGCGAGGGACGAGCTGGCGCCCTCTAGCAGGGACTGCACTTCTGCAATGACTGAACTGGTACTGGGGTCAGGGGATGTCGCACACGCGCTCTGCATCCACATGAACACACTCACACAGATAACGGTGTGTCGCCGTGGTATGCAGTCGGGCACCACTCACCAGTTTGGCTACAGCATCGTTGACAGCCTTGCGTGCGTCACTCAGTCGGGTCTGCCCCTCCTGCCACAGCCGACGCACAGACACCCTGCATTCACCATATCAGCACACGAACACGTGCATACTTCCTTCCACACCGCACAGATCGAACGATCCACGTGATGGTGTCCCGCTCCCTCTCGACCCATCCTTACTGACGTGTGTGTGGCAAGCTCCCTGATGGCCGCCTCGCCGCCCCCCTTGTCCATGACGGCCTCCACGACCCTCTCCACCTCACTATGACTCTCACCCCCAGTCTCAGCCTCAGCCTCTTTCCCACTCGGACGGTCCGACGCCTCAAACCCAGGGGGCACAGCCGGGGGCGGCTCCTCGGGCTGCTGCGGGGGTGACGGCCCGTGTGTGTGGTGGGCCTCCCCTCCCCTCAGTTGGTACTTGATGGTCTTCAGCATCATCGCATCCCCACCGCTCGTTGGTGAGGGCTGGTCGGCTGGCTGCGCCTCTGAAGCGGCGGCTGCTGCCGCTGCGGGGGGGCTGGAAGAGAGGGGACACACAGAAGAATGCACTGAATGACTGGTCTTAGTGCAGTGTGGCCGCTGGCTGACCTTGGCTCGGTGAATTTCAGGAGTGCGTCGGTGCCGAAGGGCCGGAAGTCCAGCGACGCCAGGGCATCTAAGGTGGATGACGCCAGGCTCCTCTGCAACGCCAGCGCCTCGTGCGCAATCGTCTTGATGAGAGGCCCGTCCAGCAGCGGCGGGGACGAACCGGCCGCCTGACACAAACACACACACACAGGGAGATGGCGAGCGATCGCAAGAAGATGCAGGCAGACGCTCACCCACCTGTGTGTTGTCTGCTGATTTGAGTATGGCCTCCTGGTAGCCAGCATGCATCTTGTTGAGCTTCTCGTTGAAGCGGTCGACAGACAGACAGCCAATGGCCCTCACTGCCGGGCGGCTCTGCGACAGAGTGCTCATGAAGCTGGCCAACTTGCTGCTCCCTGAGAGAGAGAAAGAGAGAGAGAGAGAGAGAGAGAGAGAAATGCATCACGAGAATAAGGCCGGGAAAGCAGCTGTGGATGGTGTGTGGGTGCAGTGACCTGTGAGCAGGAGGCAGAAGAGGCTTTCGCTGCCCCGTGTGTCGAACCAGTCGTGTGATGTGATCGACAGGCTGGCCTGCTGCTGATAACGCTGGAGCCTGCACACACACAAAAGGCGAACACACCAAACGCCCATCATGATTATGCTCGCGTGTATGTCTTCTGTTAGCTACGTACAGGAGCATGACGAAATCGACGAGCGTGACAGTGCCCAGCGGCAGCCGATACGCGTCACTCTGAGTCTGATGATACACACACACACACAAACACATCGAAGCCGCACACTCAAACACCTGGCCTCGCCCTCCTCCCTGTGTGTCATGCGTCGACCTCTCTGTTTACTCACCAGGTCGAATTCGTCCTTAGTGAGTGTGACGAGGTCGGGCTGGACCTCCTCCGGCCGCCTGTGCCGCACAGATATGGTCTCCATCTGAAACATACGGGAGCTCTCCACGGCCTTGGGCAAAGTCGCACACTGACACACACGAGAAGGGTGGGTGTGAGGGTGGTTGTGTGTGGTGTGTGTGCGTTACATCGAATTCCTCCAGTTTGGTTCGCATCATGGGCTTCTCGCGGACCAGCTGGTCCAAATCCTGCAGGAGGCAGCACACAGCGCATACCTCCCTCCTGACAACAAACTGTGTATCTTTAATCAGCTGACCTCTCTGACGCATGACACGAGGCACAGCTGCACGCGACGCTCATCAGCAGCCCCAGTGGTGCCCTTCAACACAGGCATGCTGCACAACACACACAACAAACACGGACATGAGCCAAGCAATGTACTCCGTTGTGTGTGTTTGGCGTTTCGCACCAGATGTTGCCTTTGGTCTGGAGTATTTGCAGGCCGGGGAATGAGAAGGGAAAGATCTTCTTGTCCTTGCCGTGGAAGAGCTCCACCATCGTCACCAGACCAGGCATGTCGACGAAGCAGATGGTCGGCATCTTGCCGAAGGGCCGCGACGCATTTGGCTGGCCATGCAGCCCGTTCTGCGCCATATTGCAGAGAGTTGGTGTTGAGATCTGCAAGCTCGCAGATCTCGAGGGTTTCAACCTCGCCGACCGCCGATGCATGCAATTATCTCGCTGGTTGGACCGGCGCTGCTGTTGAATTGTTCGGATGCATGTCAATCAGTCAGTCAGCGTGGGTCAGAGTGCGCGAGTGCTAATTCTTTCAACGCTCAAGTAGCCAGGCGATGGCCGGGTGTCGTGCTTGTCTGACCGTTGTACATGCTCTTCTCTCTCTGGCTGTCTGTCTGCCACTCGTTCGTTTGTCGTGCATTTGAAGAACAGCGTCGGGTGTATGCCGTATGTATGTGTGTGTGTGTGTGTGCGTGCGCGCGTGAGTGTGCGCACGAGTGTAGTGCAAGACCGTGACAGATATATGGATACAAACAATCTCTCTCTCTGGACAGACTGGCCGTGTCTGTCTGTCCATCGCCTGCACACATGTGCGCAATAGACAGACAGACAGACAGACGACAAATACACCACATACACACACACACACACGCCCTAGATATGATCTGCACCCGGACGCCTGCCTTTTCACAGTCAAGTCAGCGAGCCACTACTCTACTCGATAAATATCTATTCATCGATAAATGACAGAAAAACGCTCACACACGCAGACACAAACGGCTGTACAGCTAAGTAGACTCATAAACAAACGGCTGCGGGCCCCTTGATTGTGTCGCGCAACCAGCCGGAAGGCTCCTGCGGCTGTCTACGATTGGAAAGCTCGATGGCTGGCTGTCTGTGTGGACAGCACTTCTTGTCGCCAATACTAGTTCTAAGGGCGATGCACTGCAGGCAAAAACAAAAAGAACAGACGAGAGGAGAAAAGAGCAGTCCGAGCAATGCATCCATCTGTTTATCTTTCTGTCCATGCGCACCTGTGGGTCGGTCTTCCCGTGTGGCCTCGATGACGTCGCCATCCTCTATGCCGAGGCTGCTCGCCGTGTCGTCGTCATACACGGGCTCACCACGGTAGTAGAACCTGTCAACGGCCAATGGTCTCTGAGTGCATGGTGGCCTGTCACTTTCATACCTGTATGTGTTTGGCTCCGCGCCAAAATCCTTGTGCCATGCTCGCGTCAGCCACTCACTCCTGCATACGCAGCGCCACACACAGACGCACACACACACGCGAGAAACGTCCTCCATGCCATTTTAAGACGTGCGTGTCGGGCCTCCCTCTCCCACCGTGATGCTATGTGCCAAGAGATCTGCTTCTTTTCAGCCTGCCATATCACCTGCACGCACAGCCAGCCAGTGAGCCATTCGTTTGTTGCTTGTATGCCCATCCGTGTGTGCAGATCTCTGTGTGTGTTCGGCTGACTGTGACATGGACGGCGGGTTCTGTGCCGACGGGAGATGGCATTCTGACGCTCTCGCGGTTGCCCGTGCCCCTGTCCTCGGCCGAGACGGTGACGATGGCGCTCCCGTCGATTGAGAACGTCACCTACACACACACAGCCACACACAAACACACACACGAACGCCGCTGACACCCCCTGAAACGTGGATTTATGGTGGATACCGTGACGTTAGCGACGCCCTTGGGTGCGGGCTTAATGCCATGGAGGGTGAAATCCGCATGCTGCTTCTCATGAAGCACACCCACCACGCACCATTGGGCCATTGCCATGATTTGGAACAGCTGGTCGCACGCACCATTGGGGTCAACAGGCACGCGAAAGGACTCCTTCTGGTACGTCACCGTCACCATGAGATCAGCGGGAGGACCGCTCGGACTCTGATCAGCGGGAAGGTCGGTATCCGCCATGTGTTATGAAGCTCCCAAAGGTGTCGGTGTCGATTTGTCCTCAGGCTGTCGAGCGGCCGATAGTCATTGTGACTGTGGGTGACCGCAGGGGAGAGGAGAAGGAGAGGTGAGGGACGCTGCTGCGGAGATCTCCAACACCAGACAGCGAGTGATGATGGCACTGCTGGTGCATGGTGCCGTGTGGCCTCCACTCCCTTCCCGCCGCTTTCCCGACTTTGCTTCCTCCTGCTTCGAGATGCGAGCTCACACTTGCAGATCCCCCCGTTGCGAATGGATATCTTTGACTGTTTTCAGCTTCGTGTGGACGAGAAGGGCATGCTGATACAGTCCAAGTGATCTCAGCTAAAACACACCTCAGCAGTGAAGATGGCTCACAGCCCTCCTCTGTTCGACAGCGGTGAGGTGTGGTCCATCTCCCACCGGCCGCTGGCCATCCACTACTTCCAGACATACCGAGTGCCGTGGATGGGTGCCGCCTGGGGATGGGTGGGGCACTGGCTGGACTCATGGATGAGGCGGCAGAGGGGCGACAGGGAGGCCAGAGAGGAGCCGGCCACCGCCACTGGAGGACCAGAAGAAGTGTAGGCAACAATCAAACAACACACGAAAGAAAGAGCAAGGCTGCATTTCCTGACTCGGCTCCCGTGCTTCGTGTTTGCCAACAGGTTTCTGAATGCTGATTATATCGCTCTGAAGACATACTGCGTGCTGGGCCGTCTGCGTGTCCGATGGGTGTGCAGCAGCGGCACCTCGCCGGCAGCACCCACCGCCTCTCGCAGCGCCAACACGGCGCGGCGGTATGGATATCCCTCGTGCAGTGCCCTCGACCACACACCCTTCCCGGCCGCATTTATCAACCATGAGCCGGTGAGCTGAGAAGGCCTTGTTACGGGTGCGCAGATCAGCTTGTGTGCAGGTGGGAGGCATCCACCTGCTCAAGAGAATCAAAAAGGTGGGTTTGACGGAAACACAGACGTGGTGGTTGACTGATGGCAATGTATCGTTCTATCGCTCGTTGCCGCTTGCAGCATCACGACATCGACAAGGATGCGTTTGTGAGGCTGGCGGGTGACGACGACTCGAAGCTGCGGGAACTGCAGAGCGACGCAGTGGTGTACACATCAATGGTCGTTGAAGCATTCACTGCTATCCTGGTGACCCAACGACACAGCACACACACACAGACACACACACACACGTAAATAAATAAATGAATAAATAAATAAATAAATAATCGTCTCTTCCTCTCTCTGCCTGTGGTCAGGAGTACCTGCTGTGGTTGTATCCTCCATTGTACGGCGGCTTCATGCGGCCCATCTACTTCACGTCGATGGCCTACCTCAACGCTCTCACCTACTGCGCATACGAGCGGGCCCGAGTGCAGCAGAAACACGGACACCTCTCACTCAGACAGGTACCTGGACGCATCCATCCGACACACCACGCCACACCACACCATGTGTTTTGCGTCCACCATGGCTTGCTTCAGGTGCTGGACAAGCTGCACGTCGTCTGCAAGGCCCTCGTGGACCGCCTCGACGACCCGGCAAAGCCACTTGCGGCAACGGGCCCATCCGCTGCTGCAGCTGCAGGCAGACACTTCTTCTACGGAGATGCGTAAGCCACAATGTGAATATGGATGCCAATTGACGTGACGCTATGCCGCTTCCTTTGTGCGTGCGTGGGAGCAGTCCGCTGACGTTGGATGTTGTGGTGTACGCCTACACGAGTGTGCTGCTGTCGCTGCCGTCCCGTCTGGTGCCCTGGGAGAACATACTCGCCGCGCACAAGGCAACAACCAGAGACGCACCAGGGTAACACACGCACTGCACCAGATGAAGGCACGTCTGCATTTCCAACCACGGCGGCCGTTGTCCCTCTCCGTCCCTCAGTGCGGCAGCCGCGGCGACCACCGACCCCTGGCACCCCCTGTCTGGCCACGATAGACAGGACCGGTCGCCTAGCATCGCAGCCCACATGCATGAGCAGGACAGGGAGGCGCTGATGCACCCCTCCTATGGCGAGCGGATGCACGAGCTGCGGCGGCACCTGGAGAGGCTCTCCGACTACTGCAACCACTTCAACGGCTTCCTGTGGAGCTTCACATCCAGTCAGTGACCATCACACAGCCAACACACACAACCACCTTGAACTGATCATGTGCCGTGTCACATGTGGTTCTGTGTGGTGTTGGTGCAGCCGAGCCTGCGAGAGAGCCGCCCTCACCCGGCGACGTCGACGGCCCAGACGACGAGAACGAGACCGAGCACCCGGTGCCGTGGCTGCCGGCACTGCAGGAGGCAATCGACAGCCTCGGCGGCAGACAGCGGTTCCAGAAACGGGCCATCAGCCAGATGTCCGTCCACAGCCGACCTGACCTCAGGAGGACACTCGACCTGAGGAGGACCACCAGGGAGTGGGCCGCAGGGGTGTCTGATTGGGCAAAGGGGTCCGTGGGCGCTGCGCAGGAGGCGTGGCGCAAGGTGCTGAGGGGCGACTGGGTGTTGACTAAGGGTGTGGGGAACCAGCTGTTTGTGTTGTGGCTGGTGGTGAGCACTGTGGCCGTGGTGACTGGCGGGGAGTACATCAGGGAGATGCAGCAGAAGGTGGGGCACATCATTCACTACCATGAATAGTGAGAGGCTGAGGGCTCAGTTGAGTGCCGTCACTGACTGAGGTGGCAAACGTCATATTGTGACTGATCTTCTTCGAGTGGCGTCTTCCCGCTTCATTCTGCATGAGTTGATGGTTCCTCGTGCTGACCAGCCAGTCAGCCCGCAGACACGTTGACTGAGGCAGTGTGAGCCGGAAAGACCCTCCCAGCCACACCGACAGATGGACAACCATGTCTGTGTGTGGGGACAACCACGTCTGTGAGTGGATGTGTGGGTGGGCGGACGTCATCGCACAACTCGGTGCAGATAGCAAGCCTGTCACTGGAGTGTCCGACTGGCTCACGTACAGATGAACAGCTTGACACATACAGAGACACCCACCAATTTGGCCCGGCTCTCACTGTACACAAGCAGCCCCCTCCTGACGCCATCACCAAACGACCGAGTTCATCGAGACACTGACTCTCACACCCGCCCCAACGGTTGAGAAGCGATGCACAGCGCAAAGCAATGTGTCTTGCGGCGGTTGTGATACGTCAGGCGGCAGCATGGCACTCAGCAGGGGAGAGACGAGGTCAATCCCTCCTCGTGTGGGTGTCATGCCTTCGCCACAACACGACGCAAACATGCTGAGAGAGAAACAGCCAGCAGCGACAGCAGCAGTATGTGAGCATGAAGCCCCGACCCCACGCCTACCCTTCCACTGTCTCTTGCACTTTGCTGCCCCACTGCCTCTTCATCCACGCCGCTGCGACACCCAACGTGAGGTGGATACATGTCTCTCTCTCTGTCTCTCTGTCTGTGTCTGTGTCTGTGTCTCTGTGTGTGTGTGTGTGTGTGTATTCTGTACAAGGGAGACGGGGGATGGATTGAACGAGAGACCGTCACACTTGCACACGGCACGCACTCAACCAGTTGACCGATGGGGCAGTTCGTTGTACAAACACGAAAAGTCTAATCGGATTGGCGAAAATAAAACAAAATAAAATAATATGAGCCCCTCAGCAGGCCAGGCCCCCCTCCACTGACTCGCCTCTCTCTCAAGTGAGAGCGAAGAAAAGCGTCACCACACGGTCCAGGCCATACCATACAACACACTAATAAAATCACAAATGAAGTCCGATGCACGTGAGAACGTGTTGCTATTTTTTGTCCGCATGTGCACACACTACAGCTGCATCCTTTGCATGTGTGTCGGAGACGGACAAATAACGCACGCATACGGACAAATAAACAACGGCGACGCACACGCATCAGTCACAGACACAGACTCCCGATGAGCACCCCGCCAGGCCAGGCCGCCCTCTCCATTAATTCGCCTCTCTCCAGTCAGTCAGGGCAGAGGAACGTTCCTGTCGCACCACAGGATCCATACCATACAAGTGCGCACTTGCTCACACGGCAAGATATACGTACTCGAGGAGACACCGAGACACTCATCACTCACTCACACACACAGATAGACATCTCACTTCTTGCCGCCCTTCCCGCCGACAACTGAGGGTGGACCACCGGCGCCCTTGCCCCTCTTGCCGCCTTGGCCTACACCAACAAGCCACACAGAGACACAGACAGACACACACGTGAGCTCGTTTGGCTATCGTGCGCGTCCTGCATGATGGCCGTGATACCTGGGAGTGTGGCAAGCGCATTCTTCAGACGGGCGATGCGGGCCTGGAGGTCAGGGATGACAGACGCACGGGCCTGGAGGTCAGAGGCATGGGCTTGGAGGTCTTGGATGACGGACATCTGCGTGAAGATCAGCTGGGTCAGGTCAATCGTCGTGTGCTTCGTCGGCCGCCCCTTGCCGCCCTCCTCCGGCTGATAATTGTCTTCGAATGTCCCCACTGCCGATGGGAAGAGGCGGCTGACGTCCTGGGCGGCCAGCGTCAGCCTGTTGTGTGGGTTGGTGTGGACAGGCAGCTGCCTGAAGGCCTCGCCTCGTACGCCGCTGATCGGTTCCTCCCGCCCCACTCTTCGAAGGATGACGGCGGCTGGTCGTCGGTTTCGCTCACTTCAACAACGTCCCCCGGAATGGTCAGCCCGCCGCATCTGCACCCTTGGACTCCTCTAACGGTCCGGAATGCAGTGATATCTCCCTCTGCAAGACTATTCGAAGACTGGATCCAATCGGCGAACACGCCTTTCTCTGCCACGATGTCGCCAGTGCGGCCAGTAGTAAAGCGCAAAGGGTCAGGATCGCCGACAGACAGGCCTGGAAGACACACGCACACACGTACACACACACACACACACACACACACACAGAGTGCAGTGACGACAGGACCTGCCGCTCTTCGTTGCTTACTTCTGGCTCTCACTTCCGCACTTTCGGCCCGCACCGAGTCACCATCAATAAACACAGAGTTACCAAATAGAGAATTACCAACTTGCAAATCCCGTTGGGCCTGAACCCTGTTCGCAATTATGGAGTTCTGTGCCACGATGTTGCCATCGAAGCCAGCAACGGACCCGAAGATTCTACGGTCAGGGCTACCGACGGTCATGCCTGGAAACACACACAAACCGACACACGCGCACACGCAGAGTGAAGCGGGCGACAGGACCTGCTGCAACATGCTGCTTACTTCTGGCTTTGACTTCCGCACGGGTGGCCCGCACTTCGTCGCCAAGAACAATAACGTTGTTGCTAGCTGCCACGTCACCGGGATCAACACTCGCCGCTGTGTCGCCAGACGTGTCGCCAGCAATCAAGCCTGCATGAAGGCAGCAGCACAGTGACGAAAAAGGACCTGCCGCTCCTTGCTGCTTACTTCTGGCAATAACTTCCCCACGGGGGACCCGCGCCCTGCCATGACCAACAAGCAAGTCGGCTTCGCGGTCCCACTCACCCCCCAACAAGAGACCCCCTTCGGCAATGATTAGCCGTTCAGCTGCTATCCCACCTGTACCAACCCCTTGAATCGGGTTGCCAGCTATCAAGCCTGCACGAACAGCACACACACGCGAGGGCGAATAAGTCGTCTGGGTGATTGTCTGTGCCGTGTGTGGCCTGCGTACACCTACATGTTGCTTTGGAGCATTCTTGGCCGTCAGCCCGGGGTAGGGCGTAGAGGGCGAAACACACAGCGATGACGAGCGAAAGGCGGAGAGTGACCGCTGACAGAGGATGCTCGGCAGGCAAAGTGCTGTACGCGACCGTTAACGCGTCGTAAATATAGCGACCCTCGTAAATTCAGGGCCGCTAGTGGCTGACACCGAGAGGCAGCCGCGGTTTGCGTACAGCGCAGGATGTGAGCGGAGGCGTACCCGCGGTACTAGAGATGTCTCCAGTCGCGGAGATGTCTCCATCCGCGGAGATGTCTGCGTTGCTCTAAGCCTCTCGGACGCAGTGATGAAAGGGGCCACAACAGCGCTTCGAGCAATTACACTGATCCCAGCATACACGAATGTCTCTGCCAGAATGTTGCCCGTGCGGCCAGGGCTAGGATCGCCAACATTGACCACTACACATGGTACTCTCGGGGGAGGCGAGGCTGCGCAAGAGAAAACGGAAGACGGCCGCTAGGGTTCCGACTTCAATCTCTTTGTCTGTCTTGTCTGTCTTGTCTGTCTTGTCTGTCTGTCTTGTCTGTATCCCGACTGCTTTTCGTGAGTGTCTCCATCGGCCAAACAGAGCGTCTTGACTCGCACACGGCCATCTGTCGATCATTTCGCGCCGTTCTCCTCTTTCCATTTCGCACAGCTCATCCGTCCATCCATCAACAGTTACATACATACGTACATACGTACATACAGACAGACGGACAGACAGACAAGTATGTACATACACAAAAACCGTCTGCAAAGGACAAATGCATAAATGCATGCACGACCTATTTACTAAGCCACATCCCTAGCTACCTATCGGCTGCCGATATCACATGTCACCTATTACCTGTCACCTGCGACCTGTACAGTTCAGTCCTATCCTATCCCAATCTGTCAATCGCCGGCCATGCGGATGAGCGACCCGCAAGGACTGTACCAAAATCAATACAACATTCATCCACGTCTCTGCGTCTGCCTGTCCGTGCTTACGTATTGGTCGGTCTTCAGGAACGGCTTCGATGATGTCTCCGTCCATCACGCCCAGGCTGTCCGTCGTGTCGTCACCATACACGGGCTCTCCGCGATAGAAAAACCTGTGAGACGTCACACACAGGGAACTCTGGCAGATGATGGCTGGCTGTGTGTCCGACTGGCACCTGTATGTGTTTGGATTTGAACGAAACTCCCTCTGCCAGGCATATATCAAATAACTCATGCGCTTGGTCCATTTTCTGCGGACAGACAGGCTCACAGCAAGTGCCAGGAGCGCCGCAATGTATGTCGATTACTCTGCAGTGTGGTGGAGCTCCTTGCTCTCGTCCTGGCACACAACCTGCACAGCAGCAATCCGAACTCTCGACGGGACTGTCTCACTGGTGCATTTTATGTGTCTTTCGCTGGCCTTGAGGTTTAAGGGGGCGGGCTTTGTCATGGCGAGCTTAGGCATGGTGATGTTGGCGCGGTTATCCGTCCCCTTCTCCTCAGCCGACACAGTGATGGCACCATTGTGATCGATTTGGAATGTCACCTGCATGCATTGCACAAACAAGGTGCCACCCCACGCACACACGTGAATGGACGGATGCATCCATGGACCCAGCAGCTGTCTGTCTACCGCGACTTGAGTAGTGCCCTTCGGTGCCGGTGTGAGGCCTGTGAGAGTGAACCTCTCCCGTTGCCGGTCGTAGTACGTATCGTAGTAGCCCTCGAACGGCTGCACAAAACACACGCACTTTACAGGAATACGAACAAAGAGCCCCGCACAGGAAACCTCTCTCACGTCAAAACGGCTTGCTGTCTGGCCGTCTCTTGAGGTTATGGTCAAGTAGGTCTTGGTCGCTGGAAGGGAAGTGCCTCTGGGAACGACCGTCACCTTCTCGCCTATCAACCGCAGGCCGATGTCGGTTGTCGTCGCCAATGAGAGGCGATTTCTTGGGCCGATCAGCGTGTCCTGGAATGGCCGTGCTTCAATGATGTCGCCGTCCCTCACACCCAGCAGGTAAGGAGTGTCGCGTCTCCGAATGCGGCGGCCGTTGAACATGAATCTGACAACAAGCACAGAAGGAAGGGCGGGACGAATAGATACGCGACCTCGGCTCTCTCTCTCTGACTGTCGGTACGTCACCCATCCCTCCCTCATTGTGCCCACGTGTATGTTCTTGGGGAGAGGCCCATTTTGGTGTGGTAGGTGTCCAATATGTTGCCGAAGCTCTGCCAGCTCCTGATGCCGACAGGCGCCTTCTTGCCGTTTGTGTCGACCTTGACGACCATCGGGTGATCCTCTCTGGCGATCATGATGTCCCTCCGGTTGACCGTGCCCATCTCTTCAGCAGACACCGTCAGCGTGCCACCACTGTCGATGCCAAGCGACACCTACGGGCACATGCAGTCACACCATGTGTGGCGGTCGCTTCTCCCGGTGTAAGTTCTTCGCTCCTTCCCGCTTACAGTGATTTGCGGCCTCCCCGCCGGCTGCGGCTCGATGTCTGAGAGCACGAGCACGCCAGCCAGCGTGTTGTTGCTGCCCTTAGAATACTCGCCCTCATACACCTGATACACACACAGACACGAAACACACCGATACCAATGCATCGGCCAACCAGACAGACGTACCTGTATTGTGACTGATGACTGGTGGTCTCTTGCCGTCGTGAGCACGGTGGAGTTGCGTACGGGGACGGCAGCGAAGCGGTCGATCATTCTCAGCAGCTCGCCGCCGGCCAGCTCGACGCTGAGGGATGCATGGGTCACGTTGACGGGCTTGTCTGACCTCAACACGCTTAGAGACACCTACAAACACGGATACAAACAAAGTAGAGTAAAAATCGGTAACCACTGCCATCTCATCCGTCTCTTCTCTGCTCACTGCTTGTTGCTGCGCTGCAGTTGGTCCCCAGGCCGATGTCGTACGTGTAACCTGACTTTCCACCTGCAGCCACAAACCATCAATGTCAACAAAAGAAAGACACGGACCAGGCGGCATCACCTGGCGCCTTCCCAATACGCACGACAGTCAAGGGGAAGAGGGGCGGCAGGAGGACCTCTTCCTCCTCTCCGTAGGTTGAGACGCCCTGCACCAGTCGCGGCACGTACGTATACGCACTCTCCGGCTCGTGACACCGGAGGAGGAGGATGGAGAAGAAGACGTTCTTGTGCACCAGCCCCCACGGCACGTTGAACGTGAAGCCGCCCTCTCCTGACTCGAAATCCACCCCGTGAAAGACTTCGAAACCGACCGTCGTCTCCTCTTCTTCGAAGCCGCCATCAAATTCCCTCGTAACATCTTCGCAAAGTGAGGTGGAGGCGAATGCCGGCCAGGAGACGGCCATGCCCTTCCGGTAGGCGGTCTCGATCAGAGCCCGCGAGGCGGTCGTGATGCGATGAGCGGTGCCGACGCGCTTTGGCCAGGGAGGGAGCACCGGGTCAAGCTGAGTGAGGTCCGACCGAAAGAACAGACGGAAGAGCAGGGCGATCTGACGGTGCCGCTGGGACGCCTGCTGCTTCCACCAGGACAGCTTGGCAGCTGGGACGAGGGCTTTGTTGACGTCGCTCATGCCGCCCTTGGTGTACAACAAGAAGAGGTCTTTTGCCACTGCAAGCCACTCCTTGGTCAGCCGTTTCAGGACATCATCTACTTGCCTCGGAGGCGGCTCGCCGTACGCCTGTTGCCACAAGCGGGCGAACGTCGCCTTGAAGCCCGTCTGTAGAGGGTGCAGAGCCGAGTTGGTGTTGAAGAGCCCGACAAAAGCAGAGGGGACACCGATGAGGAAGCCTCGAGAGGAGCCCGAGTGGTCTCGGATGAGCTCCAGAAGACGGCCGTAGGTGTCAACCAAGCCAGAAAGAGTACCCACGTCGATCAGCTGTGGGTCGATTGGCAGCAAGGCATGGCCAGCAAACACCTCAGGGACGACATCTGTCCTTGGGGTCCAGCTGGACGAGCCCGCACTCCAGTAGGTCGGCTGCTTCCAATCAGGGCTGACAGGCAGACACGGACCAACACAAGAGAACACCACCAATGGGCGAGACGCCCCTCACAATCGACGGGCCTTTCACCTGAATCGAGGCCGGAAGAGGCTGAATGCGCCGCATCGGAGAGATGTCAGCGAAGCGGCGAAGTGACAGTCATCCACAGCATAGTAGGGCCACTCGTTTCCATCCGCAAACGGGCCAGCAAAGTCACTGACATTGCAGTGGTAGTGGAGTGGGCACATCATGGAGCAGCCGCTAGCCCTGTTGGCAGCCGTGGCAATCCATCTGCTGCTGCCTGGCTCGAACACATGATACACCTTGCATCGCGGCACTGAGTCTCGCAGAAGACCTGACGGCAGCACACACAGACACCAACAGCCAGGAGACGACGCCAATTAATATTGCAAACACGCAATGAACAGAATTGGAAGATGGACAGCCATCTCTCTCGTGCTGCCTGGCCATCCAAGTGCTGTGCTCTGTGTGCGTGTGTGTGCTCCCGTCTTCTCTGACCTGTCAGATCCACGCCCAGATCCGTTCTGCGATGGGAAGGCCGTGTGTCGTTCGAGGGAGGATGGGTGTCGGGGGAGCCGCCTGTTGCACAGAAACATAGATCAGCACCCGGTCGACCTGCTTGCACCTCTGGTTGGTGAGATCCTTACCGTCTTGCTGTGAGAGGTGAGGCAGGAGGTTGATGGAGACGGCCGTCAGAAGGAAAACAGCAGCGCCTGCCCAGATCAACGACGAAGGCTCCTCTGCCATCACCCCAGAAGACACCTCCTTTCACTTCGCCAGCTCGCAGGTGGCGATTAATGGTTTTTTTGTCTCTTCTTGCTTAAGTTTCCCAATCAACTCTGTTGCAATGGGTTATCAATCTGATTCATCGCCTTTGAGTCAGCTGTCCAAGCACACAGCACACAAATCAACAAAAACACACACCAACACCGCATCAGCACATCAGCCCCACCAGGCCCTCCAAGGCACAGGCGCATGTAAGGGCAAAGTAAGACGAGAAAATTCGACTTAATAATCCCAACACCACAGCGACCAAGCAGCCTGCCTGATGAGAGCTGAAAAAATGAGAGGCCCGTACCATGCCTTGAAACGGCCACGGCCTAGCAATCTTAAGGCGTTGCTTCCTTCCCACTCCACATATCCCCCAGCCACCCGCCCCTTAGCAACAACCACACCACGTAGAGCGACACCATGTGGTCATCGACCACCACACACACGCATCGATCACATGCATCACTCACTCCAGCCGCCGTCGACCGCCGCGCCGCTCATCCCGCCCGCCAGCCTCCACCTCCTCGTCTCTCTTGCGCTTGCGATCGCTGCTGGCCGGTGCTGCGGCGAAGAGGGAAGAGAAGGGCTGCTGGATGAGCGACATCATACGGCTGAAAAATGAGGGGGTCGACTGCTGCTCCATGTTGCCCGTCTGCGACACCTGGTCGCCCTCGACTGCAGGCGGTGGAGGGATCTCCTCCTGCTGCTCCTGACCACCCGCCTCTTCTTCCTCGTGGGCTCCTGGCTCATCCTCATGCGCCATCTCCTCGTCCATCGTCTCTTGGCCTTTCTGCTCACCCTCCCGAGCACCAGCGGCACCAGCAGCAGCAGCAGCAGCGGCGGCGGCGGCAGGCTGTGGCTCGACCCGAGCGCTTGCGGCAGTGGATGGGGCAGGCTGCTCGGGCAGCGGGGGGAGATGCAGCAGCTCCCTTGCGTGCTTGAGGTACCCCTGGAGGGTGGCGAGTGTCTTGGGCAGCAGGGAGGATGGCTCGACGATGTGGCGACGGACCATTTGCTCTGTCACGACGTCTGTCGTCTTGTCTGTGTAGATGACGGTGTACTCGGCTTCTTTCAAGGGACCGCCTGGAAGCAGAGAAGCAGAGAGGCAACGTGAGACAACCCACCTGTCTGAATGATCTGGCTTTGCTCACCTGTGGTGTCGTCATGTTGCTCAGTCTCCACCATCTCGCGGCAGCAGATGACGCCGTGGTACCTCCTCTTGCCAAATTTGATGAAGACGAGCTTCCCGATCTACAAACACAACACAAAATCCCCCTGCGTCAGCTGCCCTTTTCCGTGAGAGTGTGATTCCGTATTCCATTGCCTGCTCGTCGTCCGCCGCCGGCTCGAACTCCTCATTATTGGCCAGCTCTTCGTAGGTGGTGTTGTCGCTCATCTCCGATCTTCGGTCGCTCATCGCGAGGGATCTTGGGGCGAGCGCGAGCTCAAAGCTCGCAGGCTTTAGAGCCTGAAAAAACGTTGACGCTCTCGGAAGCAGCAAGATACACTGACGTGTAGATCCATGCATCATGCTGCAAGATGACGACTGAAGCTGAGCGCCCTTGCTCGCCGTGGGACTGCCTGCACGGCGCTTGGTGGTCGGTGGTCGGCCGCTTGTGGCCTCGAACAAGGCGCCGAGTGTCGCTGGACGGGAGCCAGGTCGTGAGGGAGGGCTGGGTGTCGGTGTATGGCGCCAAGGACGGCGACGACGTGTATGAGGTGCGTGAGGGCATCGCCGCCGACATCAGGCGGATGAGGAATGGGCAGCGAGTGCGCTCCAAGGTACGACGAGCAAGAGCGAGAGTCGATGGATGTGACAAACATGACATGTGCCACTTGGTTTCCGTCTTTCCTTCCCTCAGGCGCGTTACCTTGTTCTCACCCGTTCGTCGCTGCTCGCATTCATCGACCCCCCCACAGCCTCCCACACCCCCTCCCCCCCCTCCACAGAGGCACCCTCATCGATGACACGTCCCCTCCTGCCGCTGTCAACTCACCCCCTCCCCCAGCCGCCCACCGACGCACCGTCATCAGCGAGTGTGGCTGGCCATGAGTCTGTGTGGTACGACGGCTGGGCGAATGAGTTGTGTCGGTGGGAGGTGGCTGATGGGAGGAGGGAGCGGCCGCCGGTCCCTGTGCCGCTGCCTTTGGGGCGTCCGCCCGATGATGACTCCTGGGCTATGGTACGCAAACGCAGAGAGAAAGTCTCATCGTTTTTCGTTCTTGATGTTGTTTGATGTTTTGTGTGTCCGTCTTCAGGTCGTGTGGCAGGACGCCCGTTATTCACTGCTGTCTTCTCTGTTCGCTGCGCCCTCCCCCTTCCACAGCGGCCGGATCCCATCTCCCTCCATCCGTGCGGTGGGCCTGCTGTTCGCTTCTCGCGAGGAGGGCATACCCTGGCTGCGCGACATGCAGACACTCGCCATCAGAGGTGAGCTCCGTACTGATAAGAGAGAGTGGGACTGACATCACAACTGACATCACAACGACACACGCATGCGCCATCGCGACGGCGGATTTCGCGCCTTGTCTGTGGTGTGCTGTGTCAGGTGGGCTGTCTGGTGAGAGGAGAGGAGAGCATACCGGGGTGGAGCCCCGGCCGCCCGAGAACTGGCCTGCGTACCGTATGCGGGGCCTGCCCGACGGCTGGTCGGACAGCATCGTGCTGCAGTTCGGTCCCGGCACGCTGTTTAAGTGGGGTGTGACGCTGAGCATGTATCGGAGGCTCGTGCTGCTGGTCACTGTACAACACGCCATGATGATGCTGCCGACCATGCCGAGGGCCGCATGAGGAGAGAGAAGATGGCGGCGGTTTCTCTGGCCTGAGTGGTGTCCACATGTCTTCGTATGTATTTTTCCGAGTGTCTTGGCTCATTTGTGTGATGTTCGTGCTCTATCGTTGCGTGTCGGTCGGGCGGGATGTGTTCAATGACAGCCAGCTGCTCGAACGTTCCCTGGTGCTGATTGACCCAGTCAGAGCCAGAACATGGTAGGCAGGTTCCATCGAACACGACACAGATCGAAGAACAGGTGCGTTGTGGGCGTGTGCGCCTGTATAGAAGTGAGATAAAAGGCTGATTCTCTGTCGTGGTATCGGCGTGTGTGTACAGTATTGTGCGTCTGTTGGTCGTCTGTCGTCTGCAGTCGGGCCGGAAGGGTCTACGCATGAAGCCTGCCGTCCCAACTGGTGAGAGGCTAGACATCATGCGGTACGCCTTCTGGTCGCCCGCAGACGATAGATGACATACGAACACTTGAATGCGATGACCGTGACTCGCACGACTCTGGTGTGTCTGCCATGCATGAATCGAGTCACAACGGGTTGAAAAGAACACTCCCTATCTACCATCTAGAGATCCCTACCCATCAGCCGGGCGGGACCAGAGCATCGAGACACTGACACATGCAGTGGCATGCCAAACCATCCGGACACACGTCAGGCCTCTTCCGTTCCACCAGGGACGCCCCAGACTCACCGTAAGGCAGATCATCCTCACCATTTCCGGTCTTCTGTGCCATGACATCCGGCAGCGATGGTGCAGCGGGCGGAACGGAAGGCGGCAGGGTGGTCGACACAGCATACGGCACGACGGTTGGCGCGGGAGGCGGAGGGTGCTCGGGGCAATGGCAGTGGCAGTTGCACACGGTGGTGTTGTCATTGCAAAGGCCTTGGCCGAGAAGAGATGTGGCATTTCGGTGCGATTGGATGGCAGCCGTGTCCCGACGAAGGCGCTGCAGCTGAGCGGCCCAAACGCAACATGCTGACACCAGGACGAGTGTCTGCACCAGCTGCAGACGATTCATGGCTGGTCGGCAGATCTGCGGAATCCCGTTGTTGGACGCAGCGCCGCAATCTTTCCGAGAATTTACCTTGGCCCCTTTCTCGACTTCCTCCACGCCCTTGTGTTCCCTTGAGCGATGGGCCCTCCAGCTGATGCCCCACCATGGAGTCCAACACGCATACGGCCGCCTCCTCGGCTGTACTACTCCAGCCCAGCCCCTCCCACTACCCTAGCACCGGCACTCCCCCCTCGCTTCTCAGCACCTCCCACACCTGCAGCAGCCACCCAATCCCAGCCCCAACCCGCCCCTGTGGGGCAGCCCCAGCTGCTGCTTCCCCCTGGGCAGCTCCCTGGGCCAGGACCCCTTGTCGAAAGGCAGACACAGCAAATCCCTGCTGTGCCATCTGTGGACTTCTTCACCGGCAAGTGCGTCAACAGGACGGCGGCGTTCCTTCTTCTCTACGTCATTGCTAGCGTGGCTGGGGTGGTGGCTGCGTACCTCTTTACTGTTGCGGGTCTTGGAGCGATTGGCCTTGCTTTATTGACGGTGATGCCAAGTTTGCTGATTCAGGGATATGTCCATTGGGTGGGTGAGTCCGAGAGCCATGAGTGAATGCACCATGCGTGTCTTTCCGTTTTCGGATGCTGCAGCGCTTCAAGGAGCATGTTTTCCTGAGTCAGGTAGGCGAGGGCCCTTTCCGTCCGAACATGTCACCGCTCTCATGACGGTGCGTCTTCAGGAGTTTTTCTCATTCCTGGAGGCGATTCTGTACATGATTCCTTTGATAATCATCTTGCTGCCTCTGGTGCTGTTTGTGTTGCCTGCGTTGAGGAGGGCCGACGACACCTTGGCCATGGCCATCTTCATCCACTTCATATCTGCGTACATCATCGCTGGTTTCTATGAAGAGACACTCAAATACATTGCCACCAAGTCCGTCGGACAACGACAGGATGGCAGAGACGGCATGCAAGGCTGCGGTGTGTGGATGGGTGGCTTGCAGGCGGCTGCTGTGGAAGGATTATGTTGCCGATCCGCCTTCACTTCTTGTCTATGCCGTAGCTGCATCCAATGGCTTTGCATTGGTATGTGAGACAACGAATGCGACACGCACCCCACCCATGGCAGCCCCATTCCGCCTCGATCGATTCCTGTATGCAATGCAGGTAGAGAACTTTATCTATGTGTTCGGCAGCAATACCGCCCTTTCGCGGATCATGACGGCCACCTTGCGCATGGCTCTGGCTGTGCCAGGGCATCTCTTTTACGGCGCCATTATCGGCGGCTATCTCGCCATCCGAAAATTCAAAAACGAGGAGACACACTACTGCAGAGTCAGCCACGCAACACCAGACCTCCCAGTGACAAAAGGTGGATTGTTTTGGTGATTGTCGTCAGATTTTGGCTCTGCCGGTGTTGCTGCACGACACTTATGACTTCGTCATCTTCACTTTGGTTGAGATCGGCACTCGATACGAGTCCGTGGACCGGACGGCGCTGGCCATCGTGACCTTCGCCCTCGGTGCAATCATCGTGGTCATTGCCTACGGCGTGTCTCGGAAGGTGCTGCTCAAGACCAACGATGTGCCGCGCATCAACGTCCACCTACTGCAAGTAAGACACACTCACAGAGAGACACGAGGGGAATATATGCATCTGTCTGCTGTGACCCTCGCTGCAGGCCCAGCGGTTTCTGTCCACGCCTGATTGTCTATTGGAGGGATGTTGGAAGGGCTGGGCGGTCGTATGGCCCAACCAGAGGAGAGGCTCTACACGCAACAGCCTTGGCGGCATGGGCAGCGGGCGACACAGCCTGGGCGGCGTCGGGAGCGGGCGCAACAGTCTGGGCGGCGTGGGAAGCCCCCGTGGTGTTGTCAGCGGAGCCGCGTCGAGGAGGGAGAGCGCGGAAGCCGGGGGGAGGTATGTGATGGCTCAGAGGCCTAGTGTGCCGATGCAGCTGCCCTTGTGATGCTGGCTGGCATGCCGGCACCTTGTCTGTGGACACACACTGGAGGCGGTGTTTTGACGTGCCGCGCGGCACCTTGCACTTTGCATTCGTGTGTGTGGAGGTCTGGTTTGATGTTGACATATTGAATGTATCCGTGTCGCTCCTTCCTTTATCCACGAGATACAGTGATTGATTGTTTGGTCACATGCTTTCCCTTCAATGTCATGAACTGTCTTGCAAATGCACGACAGAAATAACTTCTAGGCAAATATTCGAATCGTGGTGTCGCCACATATTCACACACGGGCAGGAGTCGACACGCACACACACACACACACACACGTGTACATGGTTGCGATTGCAATTGCGTTTCTCCATCTCTATTATCATGACGCGAGAGCGAGGCTTCACGCAGCACACAGCAGGGCCGATCAACTGCATGGCCACGGCCAAGACACACTCTACACAAGCCTGCCTACAAGCTGCCTGCCTATACTCGAACTTAAATGCAACATCCTACTGACCATGCCATATCCACTCGCACACAGAGACACCTACACACGCACGTGGTGATACCAAGAAGCCAACCCTCACAGCACGCAGGCATCGGATTCACAAACGGTGCGATTCTTGCGTGCTGATTGGCAGTGAGAAGGGCCAGGACAAGACACGTGAGTAGCCAAATATACATGCAATCGAGAATGGAGAAATACATAAAATCAAGCATACAGCGAGCGAATACAGATACAGACCCACGCACCTTACCCATCCACCCACCCCAGCCAGTCAGCCAGCCACACATACACACATACACAAACCACTTCCTTGACACACAAAGTGCATCCATCATTGGTTTGCAATTGCTCATGTAGGTGTGCGAATGACCAAATGACTCGACGCTTCACAAGCTCGGCGACCTGCACAGACACACGCACGTGAGTGCTTCGTTGATCTGTTTCGCTGCCTCACCGTCAGGAGATTTGGGCCGGTGCGCCTGCCGAAGATCGCTTCTTGTTTGTCGCAAAAGCGATTCTCGCTGGACAAATCTCGCTTTTTTGAGGCGCACTGAGGCCCATCGGCTTCCTCCGTGCTACAGGAAGCCATATAGTGCAGGAAAACATCAATTCAATCGCGGCTCCTTCATCGCGTGCGAGCTTTTATTTCGTCTCGTCGCATTTGGCGTGTGATGCTGCAGCGCCCTCATTCCTTTCCTTCGTCGGTGGTGAGCAAGATCTTCAATCGCGGGATCATCTCGCCATAATCCGTCCCCAAGCGCCATCGTCGGTTGATCTCTCAAGATGACACTGTCTGGACGCGTAGCAGTGGTAGGCAATGCCATTCATCAAGGTTTTCATCCCGTTGGTTCGCTTATGCTTTCCGTCAGGTGTTTGGCGGCGCTTCAGGAATCGGCTTGTCCATCGCGAAGGCACTGCAGAATGAGGGAGCTGACGTGCTCGTTGCAGACAAGACCATGCCACCAGACGCACAAACAAGAAGGAATGCCGGCAGCGGCCAGCTTGGGTCGCTCTCCTACTGTGAGTGCGACGTCAGTGACCACCACGCGGTGCGCGGAGCGTTCCACTACGCTGAGGAGCTGTCTGACAATCGAGTGGGCGACAGCTGGCGGCGGCGCAGGAGGGTCACAATCGTGGCCAACTGTGCCTTCCGCGGCAGGGACGAGGAGAAAATCATGTATGGGGAGCCACTGACCGATGCAGCGGTGGACGACATTCGAAGCATACTCGATGGTCAGTGTGGGCAAAGGAGGGTGGGCTCGTGTACTCATGGGTCTGTGTGTGTGTGTGTGTGTGTCAGTGGGTCTGCTTGGTGTGATACTGGGCAGCAAGGTGGCGGTCGACAGCTTCTCGGCTCGCCGTGAAGAAGACGAGGGCGACGGTGAAGACGACGACACAGACCTGGTCATCGTCAACATATCATCCATGGGTCGGTGGGGTCACCAGACCCCTTCACCTATCCACCCGCTTCATGTATATATATATATATATATGTGTGTGTGTGTGTGTGTGTGTG